AGTCTGTGCTCTGGGCCCCTGTGGAAGGAGCTCTTTGTGTCTGTACTCATGTCAGAAGGTCCCTGGGAGGAGACCTGGTAGGTCAACTCAGAGGATGCATAAAAGGAGGGTTGTAAACACTCTGGGAGACAAGGTTTGTTTTAATAAACTAGCAATCACCTTGGAACGATGACACGGCTCTGCTTCCTCCTCCCCACAGGGCACTAGGAACTGCCAAAGTTGCTGGGCGCTTTAGAAAACAGGCATGGACAAGGACACTCCAGCTCAAAAATGCCACGGAGGCCCCACTGCTGGGTGGGAGGGAAGGGGGATGTAGCACAGCCTTGAAGGCGGCAGTTCCACAGCTGGTCGGTCGATGCAGCAGCAGAGGCGGGCCCTAGGTCTGTGTGCTTTGCTTGACCAAAGGACATTCTTCTTAAAGATCATTCTCACGGGATTTTGAAAAGCAAGGTTTGGAGTTTCTTGCTGAGGTTTTTGTTTAATCTGATTAGTTTAAGGAAGTTGAGATGTGGCTGTTTAAATGAATACTGTGGCCTGACTTTATATTCTTAAATTCCTTTATAAGGATAATGAAGTAAATCCCAGGTAAGAGAAAACACAGACCATAGGACTATCTGTCCTAAAATCTTATCGCTCAACTCTTAGATCCCATTTGGAAACTATTTATTAGAATTTGAGAAATGAATATATGTCACTGGTCTGTCAAAAATGTGACTAGATCAACCATTTGGGGGGTTTTCAGTTACTATCAAGACTCCCACTGACAAAGAATTTTGTCCTTGTCATATGTTGTTAGCATGTTTATTAGAGATCAGATAGCTAACACTGAGAGGGACTTAGTTTTTGCTGGGTGACAGAATAGATTTTTTAAGGAAAAATATTTTAAAGAAAAATTCTGCTCATGTGTTTTTGAAAATTTTAGTTTTAGGTACATATTTCTGAAAAGGTAAAACATGCTCATGGCTCACAGTTCAGGGATAAAAGGGTCGGTCCCTTCCCATCCTGCCCTTCAGCCTCATGTTCGCCCACTCAGAGGCAGCCAAGGTTTTCATCTTGTGAATCCTTCCAGGTATTTTACGTGTACAAGCGAATGTGAACATTGTAGAATATCATACGTTTTAGGGTTCCTCAGGTGGCAGCCCCATGGAGCAGCTACAGAAGCAAACAAATATTCCCAGCAAGCCAGGTCTCCTGGGAATGGACCTGAGCCTGTTTATCTGAAAGAATAATGTGAGTGGAAATGAGACTAGATGTAACCGCTGGAATCAAATGCATCAGAATGCTCCTTTAGGCAAAACCTACTACAAACACCTGTGGTATGCCTGCAGCCTCACTGACTGGTCGCCCCCCTTGTCTGTCCAACTCATACACATGCTGAGGGGCCCTGAGAGTAAAGTCCTTGGCAAAGACACACAGAAATGACACCACTTCCTGTCAGCGAGGTCTGTGCCCCAGACCAGTACAGACATCAATTCCGCCAGTACCTGCTTTATTCCCCAAATGCCCACAGGCATAAGTTTCAAAAGTTTAATTATCAATACTTCAATTTATTTTCTTGAAAAAACCCCCAAACCCGAGGAACCTGCTAGCAGTACCTGGAAGAAAATCTCAACAACAATCCAGGGGGGAAAGTCACTTAAACAAGTGGCAAAGCCAAAAGCATTACAAAAACTATAGAATGTGATCCCAGACTCTGTCCAAAGGCAGGGAATACAGGATCAGACTTGGCAGATGGAAGGAATAATCAACACAGGTGTTTGTACTCAACACGGAGAGTGTAGAAATATTATTAAGTATTTCCTGAGTTCCCTGCGGCCCAAGTATAGGCTCTAAGTAAGTTTTTAAATATTTTGGCTGCCAAAAGTTAGCCACCTGGTTGTGGTGGGTGTTTAGTTGCTAAGTCATGTCCAACTCTTTGTGACTCCATGGACTATAGCTTGCCAGGCTCCTCTGTCCATGGAATTTCTCAGCAGGAATACTAGAGTGGGTTTCCATTTCCTTCTCCAGGGGATCTCCCTGACCCAGGGATTGAACCCAGGTCTCCTGTATTGCAGGCAGGTTTTTTTACCATCTAAGCCACCAGGAAAGACCCAGAGTTAGCACCTACTAAATTATAAAATTAAAGATTATAACAAATTATTACTGCATTATCCTCTTGTGAATTATAAATAAGCTTAAAATAACATGTAGCAGTGGAGGAGTAAGTCCTTGTTGATGAATGTTTCAGTTCAGTTCTGTTCAGTCTCTCAGTTGTGTCCGACTCTTTGCGACCCCATGAATCGCAGCATGCCAGGCCTCCCTGTCCATCACAAACTCCCCAAGTTTACTCAAACTCATGCCCATCGAGTTGGTGATGCCATCCAGCCATCTCATCCTCTGTCGTCCCCTTCTCCTCCTGCCCCCAATCCTTCCCAGCATCAGGGTCTTTTCCAATGAGTCAACTCTTCGCATGAGGTGGCCAAAGTATTCAAGTTTCAGCTTCAGCATCAGTCCTTCCAATGAACACCCAGGACTTATCTCCTTCAGGATGGACTGGTTGGATCTCCTTGCAGTCCAAGGGACTCTCAAGAGTCTTCTCCAACACCATAGTTCAAAAGCATCAATTTTTCAGCACTCAGCTTTCTTCACAGCCCACCTCTCTCATCCATACATGACCACTGGAAAAACCATAGCCTTGACTAGACGGACCTTTGTTGGCAAAGTTTGTCTCTGCTTTTTAATATGCTATCTAGGTTGGTCATAACTTTCCTTCCAAGGAGTAAGCGTCTTTTAATTTCATGGTTGCAGATGAATGTTTAGAATGTCCTTTATTGAAACTCAAAGTACTTTTTTTTTTATCCTCAGAAAATGTATCGTGCTTGAGAGTCAAACTGGCTTTCAGACAAGTTCTTTTCGTACTTTGGCTAAAGTACTATTTCTTGACTGATTTACTAAATTATATTAGTAAGAATTTTTATTATATCAGGCAAATAAAAAATATTGCCAGACCTCAAATGAAAAACTGCAGGTGTGAGAACATTTTAATGCAGATTTTCTGTTGTTTGATGGTGAGATGAAGAGGCATGAGGCGAGCGAGCATGGCAGGGTGAGTGGGATCAGACTGGGGGCCTGAGAGGCCTGCTGAGGAGCCGGGTCTTTATGTGAGTCCATTGTGGAGCCACCGCTTTAAGCGGACATCTGATAGGATCTGCTGAGTTCATTCATCCATAACCCAGTCGGGGCCAACCTCCAGGGTGCAGGGTACTGTGCTTAAGGCAACCACAGAACAGAAAAACAAGGCCCCTTCTTCATGGGCTTTGAATGCTGGGTGAGAAGAGATGATTAACTTTGGGGGGAGGGGGTGCTGTCACTGCCTATTAAAACAATGGAACTGGAGGGGGGTCACGGGGAGGGGTTGCTGCTTCAGAAACAGAGGTGGAGAGGCCTCAGCTGAGGTCTGAGTCAGAACGAGGAACCAAAATCTGCACAAACAGCAGAAGCTGCCGAGGAAACAACTCCTGCAAAACCCAAGGGTGGCGTGAAGCTGCTGGGGGGCAGAGCCAGCAGGTGTGGACAGAGGAGAGAGATGGTCTGAGCAACGAGGTTGCTGAGACTGCAGGCTGAGGGGCTGGGGAGTCACGACCATAGACCCAGGGAGGCCTCATGTCTAGTTTCCTTACTTCTTTAAATCAAGTCTGATCCTGAGTTCTTTGGCAACCAACGTGTCAGCCCGAGAGGCTGTCACCTGCCCTGTGTCACACAGAGCCCTGGGGCCAGTGTGGGGGGCCCTGAACAATGAGGGCTGAAACCTCCATAAAGAGGCATCTGCAGGCTCAGGAGCCTGGCCCTCTGCATGAGCTGCCAGCCCTCTCAGAGGGCCTCCGCCCCTGCGGAGGCCGGGGCACCCCAAGGCTGGGGAGGCCCAGACCCCTTCTGCAGCCTCCTCTGTGCTCTCTCCCCTCCCCCCAGCAGCATCCCCAGGGGCAGGTGAGGCTTCTGGAAAACAAAAGCAGGAAGTCTGCCTGCCTGATTCCTCCTGGGCACCTCAACCCTCTGGGGCACAGGAGCACCCAGGCCTGGCTCTCTGCCTGGAACTGGAGCTAGGGTTAGGTGGTGATGACCACACAGGCAGTCTCGGAGGCTTGCCCTGGCTTCAGTGTGAAGCAGTGAGCTCCAGGGGCAGGAACCATCAAGATACTGCAGGGGTGGGGTGGGGTGGGGGAGGGAGGCTATCTTCAGGCAGAGGGGTGTCTCTGCACTCTCCAGCGTCCTCCATCAGTAGTACCAGCAGCACCAGGAGGATGGGGGGCGGCCCTTCTCTCCTCATCTCTGCTCTTCAAGCTCTCATTTCAGAAGCCAGATGGCAGAGTTGTAGCTGCCTCTATCCTGCCAGCACGACTTCAAAATAAAAAGATGTGAATTTATTTTTTGTAGGTTAGGAAAAACCTCTTAAGAACTCAAGAGCCACAACTCCTAACCAGCAGCTGCAGGCTTGTCTGTGGGCACTGTGGCCTGGAGCTGATGCATCTTCGATAGCAGCCTGCTGCCTGGGGTCCGCCCTGTTGCAGGAAGGGGGACCCCTTCCAGGGCCCGAAAAGGGCTCTTGTCTAACACTCCAAAATGAATTGTCCGAGGAGACACTTCTGCTGACAAAGCAAGAGATTTTATTGGGAAGGGGCACCCAGGTGGAGAGCAGGGGGGTAAGGGAACCCAGGAGAACTGCTCTGCCTCCTGGCTGCAGTCTCAGGTTTTATGGTGATGGGATTAGTTTCAGGGTTGTCTTTAGCCAATCATTCTGGCTCAGAGTCCTTTCTGGTGGTACAGGCATTGTTCAGCCAAGATGGATGCTAGAGAGAAGGATTCTGGGAGGTGGTCGGACCTGTGTGTCTCCTTTTGACCTTTCCCGAACTCTTCCAGTTGGTGGAGGCTTATTAGTTCCGTGTTCCTTAACAGGACCTCCTGTCATAAAACAACTTATGCAAACGGTTACTATGGTGCCTGGCCAGGGCGGAAGGTTTCAGTGTGCTTCCCCTAACAACCCCACCAACTTCTCAAATTCAGAGGTCCCCCTCCTGACTCCAACCCTCCCTTCGTCAGCTCCTCACAACCGCCGGCCCTGGACACCGTCGGCAAAAGAACAGCTTTCTGGATCCAATGAATAACCTTTCCTGAAACTGATTCTACCCCTCAGGTCTGTCACCCCTGACGTCAAGCAGGCGGGCAAGAGCAGCCTGTCCCCTGGACCTTCCCCTCTCCACTATGCTGTCACAACGCAGAGTCTGGGAACAGCCCTGACCTCACCGCACGAGAAGCCTAGGTGCTCAGCTCCAGCAGCCCTGCCTGTCGAGTCAGGGTGGGGCCGATAGGCCTCTACCCACGGCCTTCTCAGTGCTCCTGCTGACCAACCGACCAATCAACCAACCCTTGGAAGTTCACGGGAGGCTGTGTGGCTTCACAAGGCCTGCAGGGCAAGGAGAATGTATGTATTTCATTTCCAAGTTTTCCCCATGTTGGAGTAAAGCCCATGAAAAAGCAGAAAGCAAACTTGTGAAAGAGCCTTTGTTTCAACAGATCTGTAGGGACATCCAGAGAGAGGGCGACATGCCCTTAAACAATAACTGCACTAGCCAGAAATGGCAAACTTATTCTAGTTTGCTACATTGATGTTAACAAAGAACACTGCACACTCATTTCAATTTTTTATTAAAATACTTTTTTGTTCATAGGGACAACCAAAGGAAAAAATACATAATTTTATATGTAAAATACAATAAACATAAACTCTTGGGAAAGCAGAATAGATTTTAAAAATCTTCAATGAAGATTTCATTAAAAACAAACTTTAAATATGTGGCTTTTTATATTTACCTCATTTTCCAGATGTCTTGGCTTCTTTTCTCTATTGTGATGCTATTCTATTAATAAAGTTATTCAAATATCCTAACATTTTATCGAGTTTGCTTTCTGAAACTTTAGAAATCATATTTCTAAATGAATGACTCTCTTTTATAGCATCTATGTATCTTACTGTACTTGGATTATCATTTGATTTGGTACTACTGTTGTGAGCACAGTCTTAGTAATAATTAGATGTTATGGGGGGGCAGAAAAGCACAGACATGTCTTACTAAAGGACAGAAACTTTTATATATGACTTTTAGAACACCTACTGGTTTAAGATTTAATTTTTTTGGATCTAGTTATAAAAAAGGTCACAAAATGATTTTTTATTTTTTTTTAAACCAGAGCTTTAATATAGAAGTGAATTGTGCTTAGAATGATAATAGATGGTATAAATTATAGTAGAGCTATCAGTTTCCCAAATGCTATACTTTTAATTTGGAAAACTATTGTTTAAAACCTGAAATACATTATAGAATTGGAAATGGAATTGTTTAGGTGAATGCTTTAACTCCTTCATAAATCAGAAAGTTAGGTAAATTTGAATGTAAAACTTACCATTATATTTAGGGATAATTTCTATTGGGAGAAATAGTGATAAGAAAAATCAGTTAAAACACAACATGGTTCAAGAAATTATTCTTCCAATAAGTGATATATATTTTAGAGTTTAATAATGAACACCAAAAAAGGAAGATAAATGCAGTTAAAAAAAAAAGCTTGCTGACATATTTATGGAAAATTAAGCATGTTGTCAATAAACACAAAAACATTCCTCTATTCCTAGGTATAAATGATTCTGAAAAACAGTAAAGTGGAAATGAAGCAGCTGGCTGCAGATATCTTTAAAATTTTCTCTCTTAAGTTCAAGAAAACCTTCGGTTTTATAGTTATTAGTGAAGAACGGGAGCTAATGTTTGTTTTCAAGGCACTTGTAAACAGAGGCATTCTAGGTAAAAGTAAGAAGACATCCCAATGTTTTCCCATCTGAAAAATACATCCATGAGCTAAATTTCAACTTTTTAAAAGGCTAAAGTACCTTGAGTGTTCATTAGAGTTATCTGAGAGAAAAGGTATCAAGTCTTTATATTTTAGGAAAGTTAATCATAATATCACATGTGATCTTGTAACTACTGTTCGGATAATGAATACAAAAAGCATTATCTATTTTTATATACTAAAATATTTAGATATACAAAGAGGTATTCCTAGAAAGTTATTTATAATTCAAATATATACTATTTGAGAAATTAATAATTTTGTAAAGCTAAGAGAACATAAACATGTATGTTTCAGTTTCACCCTTGAAGACCAAGATTTCACTACCAAGAAGGGCACATACTGTTGAAACTTATCTTCATTGACACAATGTTCTGTAGTGTATTTAGAGTTAATGTCATCTTGAACAGAATTATCTGGGGGTGGGGGGAGCAGGTAGCAGTTCATAATCTTAACCTCCTACTGTGTGATTTCCTTTGTTTAAGGAGAACACTTGATTCAGATACAAACCTAAAGGAAAGGTTACAAAATAACAAAATAATGAATGTAAATAGTTTTAAGTTTGTTTCTGTTAGAATCCCCATTTTCAACCCTCCCCGTTCATACCTGGATTCTCTGCTCTGTCCCCTCTGACCACCCGTCCACTGCAGGACGTGGCTCTAAGCCTGAGCAGGCTCACTCCCCCGTCCAGCGAGCACAGCACTGCCATCTCCACACAAGGGGCGCCGTGTCCCTGGAGTCCAGGTGGCAGTGGGTTCCCATTCCTGGAGCTCTTTATGCTGGCACCTTAAGTCAGAAAAAGCTCTCCCTTCCTGTTTACCGAGCCGTGCTCTTCACAAAGCCTCAGGTGTGCCAGGCAATTCTTGTAAAGATGCTTCATATGACCCACACCAGCACTCTGGGCCTGGGCTGGAGGAGGAGAGACTCTCCCTACAGCTTTGTCGTATGTGGAGTGCAGGACTGAGTGCTCCAGAGAGTTCTACATTGTAAAATACAGTAAACGTTTACCTTCAAAAACCAATGTAAAGAGGTTTCAAATTAAACTTTTATGGTGATCTTTTGGTGAGATCTCAGAATGATCTATGTGAACATCTATCATACGCACAGAACTAAACTTTTATGGTGATCTTTTGGTGAGATCTCAGAATGATCTATATGAATATCTATCATACGCACAGAACAGATAAATAATACCAGGCACAGTGGAAAATGGCAAACAACTCTAAAAACTCAGTGTCCCAGGAGTAGTACAGTGAAGAAATCATAACTCATTAAAATGCTCTAAACCTTTGACACAAGAGGCTTCTGGAATGTGGCAGAAAATGACAGGAGGCTTTGTGTTAGAAGCCTCTCCTCTCTGCAGGCATTCTCTATGCACTTGCTTCTCACATGACCAAGGCTGTAGGTGTTTAGAAGAAAGGGCTCCCACCAGCAGCAGGCAGGAAGAGCAATTAGAATTGGAAGTCAGCACAATCCTCGATTTGTCAGACTTTAAAAGTAACTCAGTCCAAACTCTTTACATCTTCTCAACCTGCTGCATTTGGATGCAACCAGTAGACATTGCTGAATAGCTTTCCATATCACACCTCTGACGAAACTGCTTCTGTCTATACATCTTCTCCTTCCTTAAAACATGCAGTTCATACATTTGACAGTTTTGCTACCATAGTCGATACACTCTGGACCGATGCACTCGCAGCAGGCATTATGGAACCAGCGATACTTGGAAGCACCCATGGACTCGCAGGATATTTTACATTGATGTATGGACATGCAGTCATCAAAGTAAACCACAGTACACATGTGTTCTGAAAAACCAAAGATTAAGTAAGGTTTCAGAGCAATGAGTAGGAAAAGCAGGAAATGCTTTAACACCTAGCTGAACACTACTAGCAAGTTATTTATCTAAGCTCTCTTGCTGTGAGCCTGCCCAGGACGGTGGGTGAGGTGTGGGGAAAAGAACACATCTGTTAATCACATCAAGGGAGTCTCCTGCTCCAGCTCAGACAGAGGGCTTCCTTCACCAGTTCCTCAAATTTCACTCTGACCTGGAAGGAGATCATTGGGCACCTCCAGTAAGGAGAGGATCCTCCAGCTAAAACAAGTTTGGGAGATACTGTTCTAAACTTATACTGAGAATGTACAATAAAATAAACTTAAGAAATTCAAAGGATGCAGTGTGGTTAGCAATGTGGCACAATTCAGCACTGGTTATTAGAAATTACCCTGGCTGGTGTCTCTAGTAATGAGCTTTGTGCTTATTAGTTCATGAATTTGAATAATCTTTGAGAAGAACTTATGAATTATTTAACATCTAGCATGTTGATTATCTCGGAGAAGGCAATGGCATCCCACTCCAGTACTCTTGCCTGGAAAATCCCATGGACGGAGGAGCCTGGTAGGCTGCAGTCCATGGGGTCGTGAAGGGTCAGGCATGACTAAGCGACTTCACTTTCACTTTTCACTTTTATGCACTGGAGAAGGAAATGGCAACCCACTCCAGTGTTCTTGCCTGGAGAATCCCAGGGATGGGGTCGCACAGAGTCGGACATGACTGAAGTGACTTAGCAGTTAGCAGTACCATGTTGATTATCTATATTTCAATAATGGGAAAGTGGTAGTAAGACATATTTGTACATTTCTGAAGTTTCCCAAGACCCAGAATTTGTCTTATAAAGCACTTTAACCTGAGGGGAGTTACGGAGTCTTACTCTTAACAAAAACTGATCTGCTTTTACTATTGAGGGCTTAAGTTCATACTACTTCAGATAGGTAGGCTTGTAATGGAGGGCACAACAAGAAAGGCAAACAAAAAAGCACAAATTATACTGCTTGTGCGATACATCTCAGATTTTAAGAAATAACTGTAATACTCAAACCTGTCTTATCCTTCCACAGTGGACCTGTGTGGAGAGTTTTATTTGGAAACATCACAGACTTTATGAAAGTTACATCCCTCTTACATTCCAAAGTTCAGGTATGACTTTGTTCACTATTACATGTTCCTAAACATGCTTCTCCAAGTCTTACATGTCACTCATTCAGTTTCCCTTCTGACCAACAATGCTCACTTGCAGAGCACTGGCTGGGGTTAGGCTACACCTGGAAGTCAGGTGTCTGTAATACCAGCTGGCTCATTACAAAACTGAACTGATGACCTGGCATCATTCATGACATCAATGCTATTATAGAAACCTGGGCTCCTAGGATGCTCCAGATGTTACCTGATGATGAACAGCTCTGCATAAGGTAAGCAACCCTGTTGTTGTCTCATGAAAATAACAATGAAAGCCTAATGCAAATAAAATTAGAACCAGGTTATCTATTTTTCAGTGTAGGCTTTATCATCAAGAGTCTGAAGGAGTTGTGAGAACAACTCCTTGTTTACTCAGGGATGGGGTTATTAAAGTCCAGAAAATACTTAAAGACTATACACACTCAAAACCAAAAAGCTGCTCTAAAAGATGTTAGAACAGGCTTCACAGACCACACAGAAAGCAAGGGAGACAAGAGAGAAAAAGTCGCCTTTGGCAGTTACCTTTGTCACTAGAATACGGAGCATGAACGTTGTTACTGGGAACAGACACGTTTTGGTGGTGGGGTTGGTTCACGGTTTCCAAAAATGAAACCAGGTTCTCGTGATGTGAGAGCTCTTCTGCAACAGGGAAGGAGACGATGTTCCAGTTCAGCTGGGTGTCTCCTTCCGTGAGCGCGCGGAAGAGGGAAGGGATGGGCTCGTGAAGCTCCTCCACCGTGCTCTTCGAAGTTGGTGGCGTGTCGCTATAGTTGCGAGGATTACACATGCCTGGCAGTTGGGGCGGGGGGATGGGAAGGAAGGCAAAGAGAATAAAATTTCTTTTTCTCACTGATTGAAATGTCATGAGATATTATTAGCTAGTGCCTTGAAACCGAAGCTCCAAAATAGTAAAGTCAGGTGCCTTCTAACATGTACACAGACACTTTCCTAGCTTTTTGGCCAAGAAGCCTAGAGGCAATGACACCCTAGTAACATAGAGTACACCAAGGGCCCAGATCTTGTTTTCTAAATACCTATACTTGGCTAAGAGGAACAAAGCTCCTTGGAGAAAAGAGTGACTCCAGGGGTGGGTTAGGGAATGTCCAAAATGACCCTGGGACACCCTTCTGTGCCAGAAAGTAAGAAAGTAATTAATGAATGATGGGACATGCCAAAAGACATGGGAGGCAACCTGAAAAGGCTCCCATTGGCCAAACTGACAATTTTAACATTAAAATAAATACTGACAATAATGGATTACCACTCTATACATAAAATAGGGATTTATGAGTCTTTATATTATAAATAAATGAATTTAAAAATGGAGAAGGGAAAGCTCTTCCTTTTGGTCTTCTAGTCATAGGAAACAGAGGACAGAGCAAAAAGTTACATAATCACAAGAAGCTCTCAGTCAGATCCAGAAGGTGGCATATTTTCCACCAGAACTCTCTAGTTCCTTCATCAAGTCAATGGAATTTTAAAAGGTGATGAGGGGAAGTGGAACTTTTTTAGAATAAAAGAAACTAAAGAAACCTAACAAGCAAATATACTAAGTGGACTTTGCTGGATCTTGCTTTGACTAAAACAACAATAAACAGCCCTTAGGCAACTAGGGCAATCTGAATAGGACTGGGTGTTAGATATGAAGAAGTGCTGTTAAACATGTTAGCTGTGGCACTGATTTTATGTTATGTAAGGAAACTCAATCTTTCTTGAGATGAGTAACTAAAGCAGTTTGGAGGTACAGTAAAACTATGTATTTACTTTCTAACAGTCCGAACAAACAAGGCGGGGACAGACACACAGGCAGATGATAGATGGTGCAGGCATGGCTGCTGGCGCTGGGGGCCATTAACAGCAGTTCACTGTGCTCTGTGTGTACATTGGGAAAAGTAAAAACAAAACAAACATGCGCATACCCAAAACAAAGCCTGCGGGTAGATCCAGCATCTAAACACCACCCGCATCTGAGGAGTATGTTGAACAGCAATGATGAAATAAGCTAGATAAATAAGCTAAACAGTTCCTCTTAAGAGAAAATCAGAAGGTAGGAACAGATGCTCTTACATAAGGGTGCTGGAGGAGGAAGCTTGCTGGACAAAGTACATGGTTCAAGTCCACAGTAGGAGACGGGACAGGAAGCCTGCCTGCCCTCTAATCTGGGTCCCTTCAGAAGTCTGGACCCCACCCACAGAAAGTATGGGAAGTGTTTCCACTTAGAAGGGAGGTGCGGCCACAGGTCTGCAAAGGACACCAAGGGAGCCCAACAAGGAGGAGAACTGCCGACAAGGAGGAGAGCACTGCCACATAAAAAGAACTGGAGTATCTAAACTTTACGCCAGAAACAGCAGCTGAAGCTAAAATGAGAGATGAAGTTATGTAATGAATTAACTCAAAGTTGAAAACTGGTCATTAAATCCTTAAAGGTAAATAATATTTTGGAGGGGGCAAGCTAAGAAGCACACCAGTTACTTCTAAAATTGTAGAGATATGAACACATATAATTAATCTTTCTCAGTGGAAGAACTCTTCCTAGAAAAGGCCAAATGGCACTATTGTGTGATGGTTAAAAGACACACACTCTCTCTCACACTCACACACATTCTCTCTCTCTCTCTCTCTCTCTCACACACACACACACAAACCTCTCTCTCATACACACACACTCTCACACACACATACACACTCTCTCTCTCACTCACATAGTATTTTAGGTAATGATTAAAAGTACATTCGTGTATTTGGCTTCCATGTTTACGATAAATGCTTTTACGTGTTTATCAGGGGTCAATACCATTGTCTCATTTTTGCTTTCATTATACATACTAAATTAACTTATATTTAATGCTCTAAAATAATTCAAGCTTCTTTTATTTCAGTTAACATCACACACACACACACAAAACTACACTCATCAAGGGCAGAGAATAAACTGTCCATTTTGGGAGGATGATGCAGTAAGAACTCATTTATTTGACAGTCACAAAACACTGGCATGCCTTCTGTGTGCCAGACACTGTACCTGGTACTGTCTTAGATACCGAGATATAGGGGTAGGAGAAGGCACATTGACTGCAGCTGTCTCAGAACTCAGTACAGGGCAAAAGAGAACAAGACACTGCAACATTTCTCCTCTTTGGGAGAGTACAAGAGCTGAATGTCACCGCTACAGTCTCCCTCAGGCCCATGTCACCGTGTAACTCTGGGAAGATTCAGGAGCAGAAGACCTATTTTATCTATAAAACAAGAACTGCATGCCCCCTTACAAGGACAATCAGAAGAGGGCTCTTGGAAGTTAAAAGTGAAAGCCATTGGAATTCCCTGGCGGTTCAGTGGTTAGGACACTCCACTTCCACTGCAGGGGCCACACGTTAGATCCCTGGTCAGGGAAGTAAGATCCTGCATGCTGCACAGTGCAGCCAAAAGAAAAACCAACAAACAACTCTGCTCTCTGCCAAGACTGACCCACCCCCACCCCTGGCCCTCATGCACCTATTCCTGACCTCTCTCATTTAAAGTAATAAATAAAATTTAAAAGTAAAATAAAATTTGCATGACTTTAAAATATATATATATATGTATAAATAGTACAAAAATTAAAAATAAAAAGTAAAAAAAAAATCTTCTGCTTGTTCCTCCACTCTTATTTCACAAGAATTTCTTCCCACACCTTTTCTATAAAAATACAAACACACATATATATGTATGTAAATACTATTTGATACAAGCAAATGCAATGATGTTCTAAACACCTACAATATCTTATACACACCCTAGTCTATGAACATAAAATACATTTATACTGTTTAAAGTCTCTTAAAGTCAAGGATTCTATGATAGGAAATATTAAGAAACTTAACATCAACTTACCAACACAGTCACAGCACTCATCCCAGAGGGTCCCAAGACACAGCATGCACTCCTTACAGCAGGAGCAGTTTCCTTCTCCAGGGCGGCACTGGCAGAGCTCCTAGAAATGAAGCAGATGCTCAGACTTAAAATTCCAAATAACTACATTTAAAATTTCTACTTTTTTTGCAGCAGAAAAGCAGTCCATAATATCTGCATTTATAGTAATTTACTCTTGGCACATTATTTTTTTAAATTTAACATCATTAACTATTTGTAGGAACATAAATATCTACAAAGTAGATATTTAGACTTGGAATTAGATTCAAGTACTACTTAGCTCTCAGGAGATTTAGATTTTCTTTTGGACACATTCAATGAATGCATTTTGGATCCTTTTATCTTATTTTGAAACAAAATAAAGAGATTTTACTTCATAATCCATAACTTCATCTCCCATATGAACGCAACACACTCAGTACAAGAACAGAATCCACTTTCCAGCTGTTAGATTCATTGTAAAATGCATGGCCAGTTGACTTGTAGTGGGAGCTGTGGTTCCTCAATATGTAAAGTGTAAATAACAGCATCTTTTAACAACTAGTTTCATTGATCTAAGAATTCGCTGACTGTTTACAAAATGGGCAGCGATCCTTCCCCTCCCCATGTCACCTTCTTTGCAGCTCCTCTGATCTACAGACAAGGATCTATTTCCAGACCTCTTGAATGGAAGTCATCTTGAAACTTGCTCTGATCAACAGAATCTGATGGAAGTGATTTAGTGTCAGTTCTGAGTGTGGGCCTGAAGACGGCGTGGGTGTTTTCACTCCTCTTAGAATTTTGCCCAGCTGCCATGTGAAGCCCTGGAGAGGGCCACATGGACAAGTCAGTCCATCTGGAGCCACCCCAGCTCAGCCATCCTCCAATCAACCAGCAACTGACAACAGCCACAAGAATGAGCCCAGAAAACCCACTCGGCAGATAAAGGCCCAAGCTGCTGACCCTCAGAAAGAAAAGCAAAATAAATGGTTATTGTTTTAAGTCACAAAACTTTGGGATGGTTTGCTACTGCACAGAACTAATCAATGTGGCTTGCTTTGCACATGAAGCTTCAAGGTAATTCCTTTAGCCTCTCCCCTACCCCTCCTCTGGCCACCAGGGCCACTGCGAAACAAATCCAACCTGAGGGAAACTCCGTGAACATGTGGCTTACTTGGCTTTCTCCAGTTGGTTACATTATATATATACACATATATAAAAACATAGCACAATATTCATCCCTATTAATCTTACTATGTTTCTAGACCATTAGAGTCAATCCATCCTTCTTATACGACATAATTTTTTGCAAGATGCTATTTCCAGTTTTAGTGAGAGGTAACTGACATATACCACTCGCTGTAACACTGACATACATTAAACTTTCATGTTTAAGGTGTACAGCATGATGGTTTGATTTACATTTATTGTGAAATGATCCCTGCAGTAGGTTTAGCTAACATCCATCATCTCATATAGATAAAATGAAAAAAAAAAAAAAAAGATTTCTCCTTATGATGAAAACTCTCAGCATCTACTCTCTTAACAGCTTTCCTATATGTCATATAGCAGCGGTAACTACAGTCACCATGTGGGACATTACAGCCCTAAGACTTACTTTTAACTGCAAGTTGGTACCTTTTGATCTTCCTCCAATTTCCCCTCCCAGTGATTCCACTTCTGGTAACCACAAATATGACCTCCTTTTCTATGAGTTTGTTGGAGTTTTTTTAACGTATTTCATTTAGCACAATGCCTTTAAGATCTATCCATGTTGTTGCAAATGGTAGGATTTCCTTGTTTTTTATGGCTGAATAATATTCCACACCCCTGTATGCGCGCGCGCGCGCGCGCGTGTGTGTGTATGTATACAAATATATGCAAATACACACACACACACACCACAACTTCTTTATCCATTTATTCATCAGTGGAAACTGAGGTTGTTTCCCTATCTTGGCAGTTGTATGTTATGCTGTTATGAACATGGGGGTGCAGAGACCTCTTGGAGTTGGGTTTTTGCTTCCTTTGAATATATCCCCAGATGTGGAATTGCTAGATCATGCGATGTGTGATGGTTCTATTTTTAATTTTTTGAGGAACCTCCAAAATGTTCTCAACAGTGGCTACACCGATTTACATTCCCATCAACAATGCACAAAGTTCCCTTTTCTTCTGAAATTCTTCGCCTCTTTCATAGCCTGTCCATGTTCCAGCACCAGCTTCAGAAAGATGATTATCTTCTATATCATTTTTACTTCAAAGTCTCCATCTTAACTAGAGAGCCGGTTGTGCTGAGATGTGGGATTTCTGTGTGGACTGGCTATTTACTAGTTCACTAAACTCCCTGTGACCAACCCTGAGCACCACTCTGTAGGCTGAATGTAGGATCCCAACCAAAGTGGATGTTCACAGAGCCAGAAAGAAAGCCTAACCTAGTGCCTCCACTTTTGTCCTGTCACCACCTCCCCCAGAATTCCTAAGTGGGTTTTATGTAACATTAACAGGCATTGTGCTAAGAGTTTTATATGCATTATGTTGAAGCTCATAAAGCCCTTATCAAGTTATAATTTATCTCTATTTTCCTATAATGTTATGAATTTGTACATCATTCAATTAGTAAGTGGCTGAGATCTGACCCCGGTTTTGGATCACTATTCCTGCTTTTAAAACATAAAGCTTATTAATATAAATAATAATATAAAGCTTCTCATTAATTTAGCATTTCAGTAATTATAGTTATTACTTTCTTAGAACAAGCCCATAATTAAACTTAGCTAACCCTTCAGGTTGCCTAATCAAAGGCACTATTATATCTTTCACTCTCAGTACTTGAATACAATGACAAGTGCTACTGCCCAAGTTTAATCATTGTTTGTAAAGGTAAAATAAGTATCATTGGCATGAGCTGCAAAACCAGTGAGTTGGGATTTAATACCTAATTCTGTTTTTGCTCCAGCCAGTTAATGATTACATCACTGCCTCCATGGTCTGCAAGTCTCAGGGAAAGTGTGGGTGCTGCTCCTGGTCCAGATGAAAGGCTGGAGGGGGCAGACCAGCAACCCAACCCAACTGGGCTCCAGTGTCCTCCTGCCTCAGGGCTGCTCCAGCCCCAAGGCCTCCGTGAGCCAGAGCCAGTGGGACATTCATCTCCACCTCTGCACAAAGTACCACGCTAGGTGTTCTTAAGGCATGGTGATCACACCGTTCAATACAGTTATAGTGGAAAAAACTGAAACCTTATACTAAACAGAAAACAGAAATTTATACGTTTGAGCTATCCTACATTGAACAGCATGAGTATTTACAGATAATTTGGCAATCTGCTTCAAAAGCCTCTATGAAATGAAAACATGGCAGGATGAAAAGTTGTGGAAGAGTCTAATCATTTAAAATGTATTTTTACTATGTTAGTATCAGTGAGAATCTTGAATATTACAAAGAATTTCAATTTTTTCATGCCAAAAGACAGATTTCATATGATTATTCAATCTTTAGTAGAAAATCTTATTCTCTGTATGACTAAGGTGCTGGTGAGATCTTAATCCTCTATGCAAAATAAATTGGGGGCATTATTCATCTAAGAGTAAGCCAAGACTTATAGCTTCATTTTATAAACTCTTTATGAAAGAGTTCATTTTATAAACTTCCATACTTCCAGGTCAGAGATGGAAACTGCTCACTTGAGGGGAATTTTTATTTATATTCTGATGTAAAATCGCTGGTAAATATCTCCACTCTTTAACTGTTGCCAAAATCTGAGAGATTTTGGAAATATCATCACCGGAAACAGCATTAGAGTCTAGTGGACAGCAGATGACTTGGATTTACAGGGTCTGGATTCAAGTCCTAGCCTGCAAATGGCAGCATGTCACACCAAGTCTGTTTCTCAGATGCTGTGTGATCCAACAGTCCCACTCCTAGGTATTTACACAAGAGAAATGAAAACACATCCACACAAAGACCTACACATGAAAGTAAATAACTTCATTCATCATCAACCCAAACTAGAAACAATCCATGTCCATCAGCGAGTGAACGGATGAAGAAATACACACGACAGAACATCACTCAGCAAGACCAAGAAAGGACTTCCCTGAAACACACAGCTGCACTGTCAATCTCAAAAGCACTCTGCTAACTGAAAGAAGCCAGTAGGCACAAAAGGGAACACACTGTACGATCCTGTTAGCAGACATTCTGGAAAAGGTGAAATTACAGGAACAAAAATCAACCAGTGGTGGAAAGGTACTGAGGCTGGGGAAGAGGTTAGTCTTGACTCCCTGGGCACGATGGGACTTTTAAGGGTGATGAAAATATTCCCTATCTCAACTGCTGTAGTGGTTACATGAGCATATAAGACCAATCTTACCCCCCAAAAGCTTTGGGAGACTAAGGAATACCTCATCTCATCTTTGAAGGACCAGTATAGTACACTGAGATCCATAAATTTATTATTTTAACAAATCTGACCTGAAAAGTATAAAGCATTATATAAACATAAACTGGAATTTTAAAAAGTAATGCAGAAGATAGTTCTGAAAATATATTTCTCTATTTTAATTTCAAACTAAATTTCTCTAACATATATTTTTTAAAAAACAAAGAAACATAAAACAATGCTGGTGAAAAATGCAGAATGTGAAAGTTGTACTGATATACAACAACCTTTATTCTATATTTGTGTTAAAAAATCACCTAGACATAGAATAAAAAGGACTGTATCAAATATTAAGAGTAGTCAGTATTTAGATTCTAAACAGGACTATAAATTGCTTCCTTTCCTTTTTCTTCTTCTATGTGTTTTGTGGCGTCCCTTTGAGAACACAATATTTTTATCAAGGCGAATAAATTTAAATTTAGGTGGTAGTAGACTTCTTAAGATTCAGTTTAATTGTGTACAGTACAATAAAAAAAATAAGACACTCAAAAACATAAGCTGAGGTCCTTAAATATTAAACTAAACAAACTGATACTATTTATAATATCATGACCTAAAACCCCCAGGAATGTAAGAACAAAGGTAATTATGAAAATGAACACTGTGGGAACATCAGTAACCAACAAACCATCAGCCTGTACCTGCGGTGACACAATTTTCACAACCCTTACTTAGGTCAAATGAGTGTTTAAAAACCAAATATAAACAACACATCTTCCAATAATTAACCTTTATTCAAAAGAATAAATGTAATTATAATTATGCTAGTTACAACAAATCTGTTTTGACATATGAATATTCTTTAAGGAGGACATCAGACAGACTTTCAAACTTGGGACAGAAATATCTAACCCAAATCTTGTCAACGTGTTCAAATTCTAATTGGCCAACTTTTGCCTTGAAAATAATATAAACTTAAGTGAAATACTACTAACATTATGAAAACAGAATTTATCCTTTTGGTTAAATAGATCAGCATACAATACATAAACTACCAAAATATATTAAATTACACCCATTTCTTATATAAACCTCATAACAAAACTTTAATCCTACTTCAAAAGTACCCTAAAGCATTTCTTTAAAATCATCCAGATGAGGTGAAATGGGAGGAGGTAGAGAAGAGACTGGACTGGCCATATGCTGACCACTGCTGAAGCTGAGTGATGGGTGAATGGGGAGTTATTTTACTATTCTCCCTATGAACATTACATTTAAAAACTTCCAAGTCTTCTGATAAAATCCTCATTTTTGGGTTTTTTTTTTTTTTTCTTTTGGCCCCAACATGCAGCATATAGGGAAGCATGAAGTCTTAACCAGTGGACTGCCAGGGAAGTCCCCCGCAACTTTGCATTGAAGGGAAACAATGACTTATTCTACCCTTAAATTACATCAGGTTTGACTTATTACTTCTGGATATTAATTTCAAAGATTTTCAGGAGGCATTCATTCCCTGGAGCAAAACAGGACAAAAATAAGTCAGAGTCACAACTTTTAAAGACAAGGAAGTAGAAAAAAAAGAGGGAAAACATAGTAATGTTCATAAAAGGAAAGAAGAAACATCGCATATTATACACCAAAATATTACTAGTCTAGTAACAAAGCAAGATAACTGTAGCAAAAAACTAACGTGGAATTTAATTAGTACTGATTAAGGAACAAGGGAGAGTAAGTTAATTGTTTAGTTTACTGTGATTAAGAAAACCCTGATGTACCTGAACTATTTATAATTTTAACTTGAAATACATTTAAAAAAATAGATTAGTGAGAAACTACTTTGAAATTTCAACTTATTTCAGAAAATCTAAGATTTATTGAGTAGTTAAATCACTTTTTACAATTAAAAAAAACCAGACTGTTGATTTAGTTCATAAAAGTGCAAAATAAACATTCAGACAACTGGCAAAGTGCTAAAAGAATGCATCAGTGATCTCTGAACCCAAGTTTGAATAGCTTCATGAAATATAATGTTTATATCATCCTAAACATGACCATAAATATTAGCTAAAAATACAAGTCAATAACGGGTGTTTCAGTTCTTAATACAAAAGGGGTCTGAAGATTTCATCAGTAGAAGTGTAATATTGATCCAAATTTTAAGTATTCTTTTCGAAGAGGCAGAAGAAAAAAACAGGAAAGATTTTGTTAAAAGCAAAATCTTGTATTATCATTTTTCCCCTAAAAGAGGACAGCTCAACCACTCGTTATATGAGCAAAGGAATACACCAAGATGACAATATTGCTTTCCTGATGTTAAAATTAGATTTCTTTCCTGTCAGCACAAAATAAATACTTACACAGGGACCACCCTTCTACACAGCAATTTGTAGGAGGGGTAGGAATACTGTGTTAGTAAAACACATTTACAACTCTGAGCTTCCAGGGAAAATGTTTTATATTTAGTTATTTCATGAGTTGCCGAGGGCTCAAACATAAACAAATGTTCTAATTTATCCTCACAGTACATCATTTCAACACTACAGATGTTGTTCAAACCAAACCAAAAGAACAAAAAGCAAAGCTAAATGCCCTCTTAGGAGGGAAGTTTCTTCTACAGCATGGACTTCCTTAAAGTTCTTATCTCCCATCTCTGTTTCTGTGCATGTTTTTCTGCAAGTTTAAGGAGAAAAGCTATCACTGCCATCTAAAATGTCAATGTGCCTTAATCTATGTTGAGTGGAAATGTAGAATTTTAATAACTCAGTATGTGTGATGGCAGACAAAGCCCCAGCAATTCCTCACCTTCTCAGGGCTGTCAACCACTCTAAGAACCTCCTGAACACTAGGGACTCTTTTACTAGAAAATTGTACATATGCAAATTTGAATATAATTCTGGAGATCCCCTTTAAGAGAAGCATTTAGGAGGCCCAAAGACCCCAGCTGACAATTCTTAACACGTGAAAGGTCAACAGCCAATCTATTTCTCAAGTGAAGAGAACAGGAATAAAAGAGGGTATTAAAGTTCAAGTTTCTACCTGATCAGTCAGACTACCCTCCACACAAGGGCAAAAAAGACAAGAACCAGGTATCTACCAACCAACCACCACTCCAAACACAGCACAAACATCGGCCATTCAAAACAAACAAACAAAAACTTAACTTCAGGAAAACGATCAGCCTCAGAGCAGAGAACACACTCCAGCATCGAGGAGTTCTCTGACCCTCAAGCGATACCCTCCAGTCTATGTATGCCAGCTCTGCCACAAACAGTCCGGCCAATCAGGCTTTTATGCTTCATTCTTAACTATAAAAGACATCAAAAGAATATTTTACATTTGAGGAAAGCCTCCTGCATGAAATAAATATACACTGAAAGAAAAAAATTATCTTGGAAGAAAGAGAAACCTAAGTAACAGAAAGGGGTGGGGGGGGAGGGGAGAGACATAGCTCCATCTCCATTAATAAAACTTCTAGTAATTCTTAGAGATATCTGAGAAAACAGCATATTCGATACAAGTAAAAGTGTTAATATGAAAAGTTAGCAAGCAGAAAATAAGTTATTGCTAAAATTTTAAAATTCAATAGAAAGGGTCTTAAGAAAATCCTCAATACTCAAGGCCTCTATCATTTTAACCTTACACACTGCCACTACACACTACCAAGGGCTATCTCCACTATTCCAGAAAAGGAACAGATGATTCTTGGCTCTGAAGGAACAGGAATTAGAATGCTCACATTACTGAAACCGTGGTGTTTTGTTTTTTTTTAAAAAGAGTCCTACGATCTTACAATGAGTTTACCAGAATCACCATTTAATAGGAGAAGCTGCACCTGATTTTCCAGTTTCTACACATTTTTTTAACCTACTTTTGGAAGCATTTTGTATTACAGATTTTTTAAATTAAATAGCAAAACAAAAACTTTTAAGAGTGTTTATCGACAGTAACCAAAAGCTTTCTTCTTTAAATACTGCCTTACCAAGCAAGGTCTTCAAATAAAATCCAATTTTTAATTAGCTGAATAATGGAAATCATAGTCTTGGAGAGTCAAAAATAATTTGAGATTTAAGTAGATTTCCACCTAAACATGAATATAGCAATTGTTATGAGACTATTTCTAATAGTGAATAATGAAGCTACATTGAAACAATGTGGGAAATGGCACGGATTCCCCTGTGACCACAGCACAAAGCTGGACTTCACGAGAAGACTACAAAATTTTCAGCCACCATTAAGCAGGTGTGTCAAATCAAAACTTCCAGGTATAAAACTACATGATGTTAAACAATTATTGTTAATTTTTAAATTCCTGATAGCTGTGTTCAAGAGTTCTTATCTTTCAGAGATAGATGTTAGAATTTGATAAAATAATGTCAGGGGTCTGCTTGACACTAACAGAGATGGGGACCGTAACAGTGCTGGGGAACAGAGATGAGGCAAGGGAAGCCCTGGGTTAATGACTGCTGTAACTGCTGATGGTTACTATTGTTCATTATACTCTTCTCTCTTCTATTTAAAAACATCCAGAGTTAAAAAAAAAAAAAAATTAACAACCAAACAACCAGCCTCTCTAGTTAAAAGTTTTGGTTTAAAATGCAAAGTGAGGGTACTTGGAGTATGAGATGGTGGTGGGAGTATGAGATAGTGGCAGCCACAGTCACAGAAAGGCCAGGCTTCCCAGAATGTTAACTATTAATGAGCACCAAAATGTCACAAATCAGCACAGAATACCTCTCATCTACATAACTCATTATCACTTCTAGTACATATGTACAAGCGCTCTCATATCTGGAGTAGAGGCAAGAGCTGGCTGAATCATACTTCATACAGAATTCAAATATATGTAGTTTCAATAGTGCACTGAATTTCTTAGCCAACAGCTAGAATGGAGGCTAATTAATACAGACCCAAGACTGATGGTCTAACAGGATGGGAAAAGGGAGAACAGCTGTATAAGACATGAAGTTCACCACTAATTAACCCAACTTTATGGGCAATAATAATCAGTATGCATATGGAAAGGCCATAGCCTTCGTGTTCAGACACAGGCCAGTTTCCACAGCCACTTATTAGCTCTATGAACTAAGCCAATCACTTAACCCCCACTTTTCTCTTCAGAAAGGCTTGCCTTGAGAGAGATCACCATCAAGGATCTTGAAAGCAGATTCTCCCAATGCCTGCAACCTTGAGAAACCCTGAGCCCCAAATCACCCAGTTCAGCTGCTCCTAGGTTTCCAACCCTCAGGAACTGTGTAAATAACAAATGTTTACTGCATTAAGTTACTCTGTTTAGGGTAACTTGTTACACAGAACAGACAATTAGATTTTGGAGAACAGTCTGTCTATGATTTGACTATCTAAATTTTTTTTTTCTAAATATAGTAAGTGAGCCTCTTTGCTATGTAAACTAGATTGTACAACAGAACCCTTTAATTCACCTGAATAGATAGCTCATCACCTGTAATGGCCTGTTTATAAAGCTGGATATTATTTCCTGTACTGAACTCCTTGAGTCTGAGTTAGCTTCTGAAGTATGGGGGCAAAACCCCAGACTAGTGGTAACGGTTCTTAGACACTCTCTGTGTATTTGCATTCTGTATCTGCTATACAATAAATTTTAATATTAGTAAAAAGAGCATTCTTAGTCCTACCTGAATGAGGCATTTGCTCACATCACTGGCACAGAGCGCTTTGTTACAACTCAGTGACATAGGGACCCATGTCAGGAACACCAGGATGGTGAGAGTAAGCATAACAACCGAGGGTGACTTCATGATTCTTCAAAGATAATCAGTAACTCCCAGGAAGCTAAACAAACAAAAAAACAAAAAACTTAAACTCAAAGGCAAGTGCTAAGGTAAAAACAAATACAAAAATGAAAAACAAATAAATAAACCAAGACTCATTGTCTGTGTTAGGATCACTGAGTGATCATTTATAAATATTATTCTCAACAAGATTACTTATACACCCAAAAAAAAAGTTACAATTTTATCTAGCAACATCTTGTTAGCCATCTTCAAAGGTATAAAATTCTGAAATTCCTCAGACTACCCAGAAATGGGGACTGTGAAAGTTAAAGCCAATAAGTAGTTTCAATACTACACTGTTACTATTCAGCTTTAGTTTCAGGTCTACTATTCAACTTTCAGCCAGTCAAAAAAACCCCCAAAACTATTAATATTGCATTATAAAATTTTAAAAACATTTAATGATATTTTAATTCCCACAATTAAAATTTAAAAATGCCAACTATTCTAGTGGTTACTTATTACTATCTCATTTTGTCTCTTAACATAATTAGCTAGAATGAAGCAGCTCAACGGAAGGAGTGGGCAGTTGTTCCTGAAATACTTTAGAGATTAACAAAGGGAACAGTAAATTATTGATTGCATTAAGAACTCCGATTTATCAAAATGTGACGATATTCTTTTACTTCTCTGCCTTAGCTACCAGAGATTCAAAGTTAATGAGAAAGATGTTACAGTCCAAAATGAGAAAAAGACCAGCACAAATTCTGAAGGTGGTAAAAACAACCAACACGGTCATTAAATTTTCAAAAAGGAGAAGATAAAACTTCCTAGGGTTTAAAACACACACTCAAAATGGAATCAATGAAATAAATAGGTGAGGAGAGATGGATAAAAGGTACGTTTATGGGCATTTCAGATCGCTGTAAACCTTTATCCTAAGTGTGAGGAAGAACAATAAAGCAAAACCACAGAAGGTGGAGAGAGAACCGGGGCTCTGTACCCGGGCGGCTCGGTTCTGGACGAGGAAAGCCCGGGGACGGGGCCAAGGCGGGGCCCCTCCCTGACCGTCGGACCTACAGTCCGCTGCACTGAACTCGGAGCCACCGGCCCGTACTCGTGGCGGCCCAAGAAGGCGTCGGAAAATGGAAGCTTCCTGAACTAGTTATCAGCCACAACCACTGAACAGGGGGTATTTCCCCACCTCACGGCTGTCCCCAAGACCCTTCCCGAGCGTGCGTCCAGGTGAACGAGGCGCCGAGACGCAGGTAGCCGGCTCCTCAGCCCGGAGCGGCTGCCTCCGGGGCCTCGGGAACAAAGCGCCGCGGCCCGGCGGGCGGCGCTGACAGCGGCCCCGGAGGCCGCGAGGAGCGACGCCCCGCGCCCGGCCGGTCTTATCCCCCGCAGGCCGCCCAGGCCTCGCGGGCCCCGTCTCCTCCCGCCGTGCCCGCCCAGCCGCGGCCTCCAGACCCAGAGCAGCGCCCCCGCCCGCCCCGCGCCGCTCACCCTGCGCAGCGAGCTCGCCGGGCCCCAGTTCCCCGCGGGTCGGCCGAGCGGGCGCGCCGCTGGCTGTGGAGGGAGGCAGGCCGCGCCTCCACGCCGTCCTCCGTGCGGCGCCCGCAAACCTCCTCCGCACCGAAAGAGGCAGAGACCTGCCTGTCGCCGCCTCGCCCCTGCACCCCGCTTCCCTCCGCCCCTCCGGCTCCCGCCTGGGCCGCCGCCAGCTCCCGCCAGGCGGTGTCTCTCACTCCCCTCCGCGCTCCTGTCAGCGCGCGGCCCGGCTCCGCCCCGACTAGGCCCCGCCCCCGCTAGGGCTCCGCCCACCGGAGGCCACACCCCCGGCCGGGCACTCCCGTCTGGCCCACGCGCTCTGTCCTTTCTCCCTCTTACCCGTCAGCATCTCCGGCAGCTTCTTGTTCCCACAGACCCTGCTGTCCGGCTCTTGCCCCAGGCTCGACTTGCCGTGGTTCCGGAGCTGGGACGTGACGTGCACGAGCTCCTCGAGTCCTCACGGCCATCCTGGGAGGGAGCTGGTCTCCGCCTGGTTATGGGGATGCCCAACTGATAGAGATAACTCGCCGGTACCCAGTGCAGCTGACACCTGAGCTCAAAGTTGATGTCAGAGGGAGGATTTATAAAAAACGCAGGTGTCTGGGGTCTGCCCTCACCTACTGAATAAGGGTCTCCGAGAGTAGAGCCTTCAGCCCTCAGTGCACTGGATGCTGCACCCTTGGAGGGCCCCTGACCCTGTGCTCAGCGCTGGAAGAGGGCAAGGGGGTCCGTGGTGCTGGTCCAGAGGGTGGTTGGCCAAGGAAGAGTGAAACCGTTTGCTGTCGTTCCGGGGCTCCAAAGGGCTCCGGTAAACAATCCTTTATGTCTCTTCGCAGAAGGCATTCAGCAAAGAGGCAAAGTGATAAATAAGTGTTTTACTAGACTAGGACGCTTGTAAGGCTTACAAAAGAGTGGGAAAAGGGGTGTCACATCCCTAGGCCATAGTTTTATAATCAAAGTGGGGAGAGGGAGAACTTCTTTGTCTTTCTTGAGTAGACATCATGCTTCCATCATCAGTTCCCCCTTCAGGTTGGGCAGGGGAGTTTTGTCAAGCTAGGTCCATAAATTACTGTATTTTATGTGTGCAGAGAGCATGTCCGAGTGGTCATTAACTTTCTGAGCTCATTGGGCAGGATGTGGGGCTCATTCCACCAGTGTTTTATTGCTTGGGGGTCATGTCCCATGCTTTAGTTGCATGGTGTTGTTGCTAAGCAGGACTGCTTGGTTTTGTGGTTAAGCAAACCTGCTTTCTTGAGTAACCATTAAATTACAGGGGTCTCCCTTATTTTTCTATTTACAATCCCCTAGTAGGATAGACTACACCAAAGCTTTTGACTGTGTGGATCACAACAAACTGTGGAAAATTCTTCAACAGATGGGAAAACCAGACTATCTTACTTGCCTCCTGAGAAATCTGTATGTGGGTCAAGAAGCAACAGTTAGAACTGGACATGGAACGACAGACTGGCTCCAAATTGGGAAAGGAGTACATCAAGGCTGTATATTGTCACCCTGCTTATTTAACTTACATGCAGAGTACATCATGCGAAAAGCAGGGCTGGATGAAGCACAAGCTGGAATCAAGACTGCTAGGAGAAATATCAATAACCTCAGATATGCAGATGACATCACCCTTATGGCAGAAAGTGAAGAACAACTAAAGAGCCTCTTGATGAAAGTGAAAGAGGAGAGTGAAAACATTGGCTTAAAACACAACATTCAGAAAACCAAGATCATGACATCTGGTTCCATCACTTCACGGCTAATAGATGGGGAAACAATGGAAATAGTGACAGACTCTATTTTCTTGGGCTCCAAAATCACTGCAGATGGTGACTGCGGCCATGAAATTAAAAGACACTTGCTCCTGGGAAGAAAAGTTATGACTCACTTAGCATATTAAAAAGCAGAGACATTACTTTGCCAACATAGGTCCGTCTAGTCAAGGCTATGGTTTTTGCAGTAGTCATGTACGGATGAGAGTTGGACTCTTTTAACTTAAAGCAAGTTAAGTGCTGAAGAATTGATGCTTTTGAACTGTGGTGTTGGAGAAGACTCTTGAGAGTCCCTTGGACTGCAAGGAGATCCAACCAGTTCATCCTAAAGGAAATCAGTCCTGAATATTCATTGGAAGGACTGATGCTGAAGCTGAAACTCCAATACTCTGGCCACCTGATTCGAAGAATTGACTCATTGGAAAAGACCCTGATGCTGGGAAAGATTGAAGGTGGGAGAAGGGGATGACAGAGAATGAGATGGTTGGATGGCATCACCGACTCAATGAACATGAGTTTGAGTAAGCTCCAGGAGTTGGTGATGGACAGGGAGGCCTGGTGTGCTGCAGTCCATGGGCTTGCAAAGAGGCAGACACGACTGAGCAACTGAATTGAGTGGGATTAACTGGGCTTCCCTGGTGCTCAGATGGTAAAGAATGTGCCTGCTATGTGGGAGATCTGAGTTCAATCCTTGGGTTGGGAAGATCCCCTGGAGGAGGGCATGGCAACCCACTCCAGTATTCTTGCCTGGAGAATCCCCATGGACAGAGAAGCCTGGCAGGGTACAGTCCACGGGGTCACAAAGAGTCAGCCATGACTGAGCAACTAAGCACAGTAGGATTACCTATTTAACCACCTACTCTGTCCCTATCAGACTAGCTAATGGGGTGGATTACATTATTGATATTAGTCCATTTTTATACAGTAAGTATACTTTTCAAAAACCATCCCTGAAAATTATCTGAAAGCAATAATTAAGTGTACACAAATTTAAGGATCTTATTCTTGGAATTACTTACTGGTTAAATGACTATGATACTCCAGTGCAAAGTGGTAAACCAGCTATGAAAAATAGTATTATAGATCAGAGGTTTACAAACTTTGTATTCTCAGGACCCTTTTACACTCTTGAAGATTATTGAGTGCTCCAAAGATATTTTGCTTATGTGTGCTACAGCTATCAAAACTTTTGAAGTTAAAACTAAGAAATTTCAGAAATATTCATTATTTCACATATTATGTACTCTAAAAAATATGTGAGAGGAGGATGAAAAAGCAAATAAGGTATTAGAATTAAAGTAAGGATGGGGGGAGCAGTCATGATGGCGTCTGTATGATCTCCAGAGGCAGCGGCGTCGGAGCTCGGCCAAACATAAAAGATGACAACAGCAGCTCGGCCAACTTTTGAACCTGCAAGAGGTGGAAGAGGAAAAGGTGAGGGTGATTTGAGCCAGCTCTCAAAGCAGTATTCAAGCAGAGACCTACCCTCTCATACAAAGATAAAATATAGACAGACCACTCAGGATGCCCCTGAAGAGGTTCGAAACCGTGACTTCAGGAGAGAGTTGGGAGAGAGAGAGCTGCTGCAAGAGAAAAAAACAGAGATCGGCCAACCCGAGAACATACAACCTCTTCCTCAGTGTCAAAGAAGCCCCGATTGGACCAGATTTCTGCTGCCAACCTTGATGCAGATGACCCACTAACAGATGAGGAAGATGAAGATGAAGATTTTGAAGAGGAGAGTGATGATGACGACACTGCAGCTCTTCTTGAAGAGCTGGAAAAAATTAAAAAAGAAAGAGCTGAAGAGCAGGCCAGGAAGGAACAAGAACAAAAGGCTGAAGAAGAAAGGATTCGTATGGAAAACATTCTGAGTGGAAACCCTCCTCTTAATCTCACCGGCCCATCCCAGCCTCAGGCCAACTTTAAAGTTAAAAGAAGGTGGGATGATGATGTTGTCTTTAAGAACTGTGCAAAAGGTGTAGATGATCAGAAGAAAGACAAAAGACAGGGAATGCAGGTCGCTTCTAGAAGCTAGAAGGGGAGACTCTGTGCCCTTCTAGCTTCTAGAAGCGACCTGCATTCCCTGTCTTGTGTCCCTTTCACCATCTGCAAGGCCAGCAGTACAGCATCTTCAGGTCAATAAGCCCACTTCCCTTCCACCCTCCCTCTCCCTCAATGCCCCCCCTTCTCTCTTCCTCCCTGTTTCTCAGCTCCTCTACACATCTTTCTCAGACTCTCTCCTCGTCACAAAATTCATAACTTTCTCATGTTTCCAAAGTTCCTCTTCCCATGTAGATTGACATGCACAGCTCTTTGGGATTAGGATGTGGACATCTTCATGGGTGGGGTTGGTGGAAGCAGTGAAGCTAGGGGAGGGGGAAGTTGTCTTGCCCAGTATAGAAGGATAACAAGGACAATTGTAGCTTCTTACCTCTGGGTCTCTCCTCACTCCAGCCAATACACCCCAGGAGACAGAGAGCAAAAGGATCACCAAGGCACAGTGCTGGGTGCCCCCAGCACTGGAGGGCTGGTAAGCACTCCAGTTAGTCTGGAGTCTCCACTTTGGAGCTTCCTTACAGGAGCGTGGGCAGATCGCCCAGTCCAGCCCATGGGAAGAGGAAGCTGGGCTTGCCTGGAGGAGGCATCCAGCCTGTGCACCACACAGCCCAGTGGAGACAGGAAAACCACTCTGTGTCCTGGAACTGGCCAACTGCCCCAGGCTGGGTACTCCAGTTTGGAATCCACCACTCCCCTCTTCATGCTTTGCACCCAAGAGACTCAGCTGAATTCGCGTATTTGATTTACAGATCTAAAGGGAGCCAGTCTACCAGCTTCTCAGCTGCCCTGTGGGGGTAAGATTTAGGGATGGAAGGCCCTTTGGGGAGAAGCCTCCTTCCCCCATCCTCGCCCTGCTCTTCCCTCCCTGCTTTGTGGTGGGAATTACCACAAAGCTTTCAGAAGAAAAACACTGAGTTCCAAAGGCCTCTCAAGTCTTATTTTAAACATAAAGAAATGCAGAAAATCTTGAGGCTATTTCTATTTTGTTTCAAGTTCTTAAGATACTCCTAATTCCCTCTGTGATAAATGGCTGTGAATCCACCAGGCAGGACGCCCAAGGGAGCTCTTCCAAGGCTCAGGACCCAGTAAACCTCTGGGGAAGCTGCTGGCCCACCTGCAGGAAGAATATGCTGTTTTGGCAGAAGATGTTTGTACAGCACTATCAAAGGCTATTGAGAGATTTACAAATCATTCTGGAAAGCTCCTAAGGCCTCTCAAATCATAAGTAAACACTACTCACGGCTCACTCTTGCCTACCAGATTAGGTCCAAACTCTGTAGCTTCTTTAAAATACTTTTTTCAACTGTTTCCTTTGTTCTGATTACAGAAAATTTAAAAATTATGGAACCTCATGCTCACCCCTGGCCATTTTAGCCTCTGGAGATTGCACCTTATTTTATGTATATTCCTTCTTTTTTAAGTCACATGTAGTGACATGCTTGTGAAAAATGAAATGATGCTAAGAATACTTCACTGCAACATGCTTTTTCCCACTTGGCATATCTAGAACATCTTTTCATGCTACTAAATGTAGAATCTTTTTTAGAGGTTATACAAATACTCTCCATAAAGCCAAGGTGGTCTATTTGCATGCTTCATTCTTTTCTACTCCTGTATCCTGCACATTTTTCCTTTGGCTTTGGACAGGATTTTTTCCCTTGTTGCATAAACCCTATCCACTTTTTTTCTAAGTTATTGGAGTATAGTTGATTTACAAAGTTGTGTTTCAGGTGTACAACAAAGTGATTCAGTTATACATATTATTAATATCCACATTTTTCAGACTTCTCTATTATAGGCTATTACAGGATATTGGCTCTAGTTTCCTGTGTTCTACAGTAGATCTCTGTTGTTTATTCATTCTACATATAATAGTTTGTACCTGCTAATCCCAAACTTAGTCCATCCCTCCCAAACCCTCTCCCCCTTGGCAACTACAAGTGTGTTCTCTACACCTGTGAGTCTGTAGGTGAGTTCATTTGTGTCGTATGTTAGACTCCACATATAAATGATATGGTATTTGTCTTTCTCTTTCTGACTTTACTTAGTATGAGCAGTCTTCATTGTCTGAAAACCTTGCTTCCACTCTGAAACTCATGGGTATGAAGTGAGAGGCGAATGGTTCCAGGGCAGGTAAGAGGGGACCTAAGACTGTATCACAGCTGTGCTGATGTTTTATCCCACGGGGAGACACAGCAATTCTGAGACAAGAGTTCTTTCGAGACTGAGCTGGGGAGGGCTAAACACAACAAAATAATTAAAATAACAATAAAACCAACCCACGCCAAAAAGCCCATAGGAAGGCAGTTGGTTTCCTACTTTTACCTGTTTGCCAGCATCTGCTTGTTCACTCCCTTGGAATTAGTGATGTTTTTGGACTTTTGTCTATTTCTATGTCTGAAATGGAGCACGACCCTATGGTCCTTGTCCCCCATGTCCTCTGCCTGCCTTCTGTCTGTGGAAAAACTAGCCAAAAAAATAAGTTAATCAGAGAAATGAGAATATGCAGAAACAAGGAAAACAGTTAAGAGAAACCAAATAATAATAGTCATTAAGCATAGTCAAGGACCTTTGGTTCCTCCTCCAGGGCTACAGATAATATTCTGAGCTATATCCTATGAGCCATCTTATATGTACTGAAACCCCCACCAGGTAGAAGTTAAACTGTATGACGACCCGACCGTAACCATGACATAGCTGCCACAATTCCTAGAACTGGCCTCAAGGAAATGGGAACAAACTGACTGTGGAATTGAAGACTAGCTATCACTGATGACCAATTTCAAGGTGACTATCAGAGCTGTGCTGTTTCTGCACATTGCCCCCACCCTCAGCCTATACAAACTCTAGCCCACTGATGGTGAGAGGAAAGAGTGGGCCTTTGGACAGAAGTCTATCCTCCCCTCAAGTTGTCAGCATCCAAAATAAAGCAAGCTTTTGCCTCTTTATTACCTTCTGAGCAGGGAGCAGCTGGGCCCCACTTATGGTTACATGTTGGGAGTACACTTTTAATTAAGATGTTTCTTCATGAAACTTCCACCACCTAACTTACTTCTAAGAGCCAGAGCTTCTTGATGCTTTCTGGAGGACAAACTGCTCCTTCCACCATATCCAGCCTGCGGTGTCACTTGTTCAGGGAACCAGATGGCTTTAACAGGGCTTCCATCTGAAGTATCTCAGATTAGACTGTACCATTCAAGATTTTCTGCTCTCTGCCCTTCAACAATGGCTTCAGCTTTTTGCCTTCAAGCCTGTCAAACTTTTCAAGTTCTGAGGTTTTTCTTTCTTTCCTTCAAGCTCTTTAAAATACAGATGTCACATTCATCCCTTTCGTTTTTAAATATCATTCCCATCTCACAAAGCATGTTGCTGTGATTCTCTTTCCCTTTTAGGAAAACAGAGTTTTTGTATTCTCCAAATATTCCAGTTGGGATGGTTACACAGTAGTTTAATTAAAGCATTTTGAGATAGTTAAAAATATACTACTATAATTTATTTTAGCAAAACTGCTTACATAAGAATGTTTGAAATGATACAACATTGTGCCTTAATCCCTATCACTAAAACCTAAATGCATGGATATTCACACATTCCTTAAATTCTTAAGGACATTAATAAAGACCTGACAAAGGATTTGTGTGCAGAATAAAAACTTCCTATAAATCAATCAGTAATAAAAAGACAACACAATGAACACTTGAGGACTTTTCACACAATAAAATGTACAAATGGCCACTAAACATATTAGCAATGTTCAAACTCCCTAATCATCAGATATGCAAATTGAAAGAACAGGAAGATACCACTACATATCCCTCAAAACTGCTAAAACTGAAGACTGACAAGTCAGTCTTTCCAAATGTACTTTTTCACTGTTTAAATGCTAATGCTTAAACTCTAACCTTTTTAGCCATCTAATTAGGAATTATTTAAATTTTAAGGTTTGAAAAGGATTTTTTTAAGAAGTTGTGAAAATGTTTTTTTTTTTCAAAAATACAAGAAGACAAGACTACCTCATGAATTTTAAAAAGTCAATTTTCCCTACATAAAATTTTGGGCTTTTATGTGTCAGAGATAGAATAAAAAATATTGTTAACTTTTTGGATAGCTAAATATATACTTAGCATTGCTCAACTTCTAGAGTAACTGTCTTATTCTTCAGTCTACTAAAATGAACTTCATAGGGTCTTTGCTTGAGATTTTTAAAGTTAAGTCTGCAGCATGTCTAACACGTAAAATTCATTTTTGAGACCTCATTACTGAGTAGACAAGGCTAATTTTTGTCTTAGAAAAAGGTTGTTTCCCAACAAATGAGTATTTTACCATTTTGCCACCTGCTCAAGTAAACACTGGTGTTGGGCTTGGAGTCATGTGGGAGTGGAAAGTAAAAAATTAAAAATAAATCACTTATCACACATTTCACTCTTATTTTTTCTATAAAAATATAACTCTTTATTAAATAACATGCACAAATATCAACTAGTCATTTATTAAACAGATATGATTTAGAACAAGATTTAAAGAAATACAAATCCTTAGGTACAATTTAGTATCTTGTTCATGATATTTGAATAGTTAAAAAAAAAATCACTGATTAAACTAACCATCATTTATTTCTTTCAGAATCCTATATCATTTTAGTCATAGACTTCACTCCAAGTTTTTTTCTAGCATTTCAGAGCTTCAGAATATCTTTAATATCAAGAGCCCTTAACTACTTACTTAAGTGTGAATTCCTCTGGAGAAGGCATTCACTTTTTTTTTTCCTAAGCTATTCCAATTAGCTTCAAGTCACTTTACAGAGGGAATCTGCAGAAGCATAATCATGGCAGACAGGCTCCAGCAACTTGAGGTACCGTTGAAGAGGGAGAGAACTGTGGTTAGTACTAAGACGCTGGGGTGACTAAAAAAGGCCAGATTTCTGCTTGCTTGGTTTTTCTCTTCTGCAGCTTGTTCTGTTTGGCCAAACAGTGATTTTTTTTTTTTTTTTCCTGCGTGCCCCATCTCTGGTTGAACCATCAGAACAAAATGCTGTATGAACTTCCCCTTCTCATGTTTTCTGTGACTTCAATGCTCAGTAATCTGTTTTTTTTTTTTACTTTTAGGCAAAAGTATAAACAAAATTTGCATTAATTTTTTCATATTAAAAAGTATTGCTTTTATAAATTAGCTTTTAATGTTCCCAGCCTTAATAAACTTAACTTCAACAAAACCAGTGCTTTAAAATCTACCCTGCCTTTCTTGGCCTCATTTATCCAATAAAAAAGGCCAAAATCTTTCATCTAAATTTCTAAAGACTACTACATCCAATCTTTATAATAAAGTCCTTGCACTGTGTATTTTTCACATGTGCTGCTTTATTGCGCATGCCAAGTACAGTATGAATTAAAATATAAACTGAAGTAAAAATTCAAAACCCCTAAGCTTAATATATACCTTTGCACTCAAAAACTTCAATTTTACATTCTTTCCCATTAGCTGGGACTTCCAACTTGTTAGCTGAATTTAAATCACTTTATTCCTTATATATTCTCTTTTACTTCTATTGGAATAAAAAACATCCAGTATTATTTTATAATTCAAGAAGGTATTACAGAAAGTTCTGTAAATTTTATTTCATATACTTATGACCAATTTTACATATAACCTAATTTTCTTTCCAAAAATGTTTAATAAGTTTAGCAGCAGGTTTCAAATCTGAAATATTCCTGAACATTTAATTGACATCATGTTATAGGAGAAACTGGACTTTTTCTACATATATTGCTAATTATTTTACTAAAAAACAGCATACCAAATCTTACTTTAATTATAAAATTCTGAAAAGTATGTTTTGCTTCTTGATACAAGGAAAAAATACAACATATTAATTTTTCATAAACATTGCAGAGGTCAATAGGAATATGCCCATTGCTTTTACTTATTGTGACTACCAAGGATTTCTTTCTTGAGTATTCAGTTTTTATTTAAAAGTGCAAAGGTTATTAAGCTTAAAACATTATATTTGAGCAATGTAAAAAAGTTTTACAATGATTTAACATGACCAATAAAATTTATTAAACATATTTACATATATTCACAGATTCTTTCATACTTGAGTATTAAAATAGACATTTACAATTTCAGAATTTTCATTCAAAGGCATTTTTTGGGGGGAGGGAGGAGAATAGGCTCTATCGTGAGATGAAGAAAGAGCTGTTTCTTTGCATGACTAATTCTAAATAAAATGTCCAACATAGTAAGTCAAAGGTCCTACCCTGGGAGACTGGTATGAAACACCTTACACTACCGCCAGGCATCACTGTGGAGAGGGTTAAATTATAGGAAGCATGCAGCTAAGTCACAGTCTCTACAATTCTGTGATGGTAACAAGCTAACGCAGACACGCATGCCTTATTTAAAGGTCCTGCTACCTCAACACACTATCACTACACTCCATACCATACAAACTACAACTTTGGTCCAATAAAACATTAGACAAAACAGGTTTACAATTATCTCTTTGTATATGTTTTGACTACCAATCCCTTTGTATACATTTTGACCATTAATTACAAGATTTACATCTGCACAATATGTATAAAATAAGTTATTAAAAAGGAAGACAATATTAAAACTTTCGAAAAGAAAGCTATACAATTAACTTACAGATAAAATAAACTGAAGAAATTTTGTGCCAAGTTTTCCTTCCACATTAGAAACTATTTGGTAGGAACTGCGCCTTTTAGTTTGTTGATCTATTTTAGCAGACTGTGACAGAACCTGAACACCCGCAGTCACCTCGTACAGAGCGCTAACAGCTTCCAGCGCCATTAGCAGCCCCCTCTGCTTCCTACTCAACTATGACATCTGCCAACGGGCTCCAATGTGAGTCACATTCCACCAATATAAATAGTAGTTTTCAGTTAGAAACTGCTTGGATCTAAGATCCAAAATAATTCTTTTCATTTTTAATAAAATGACAGTGTTTACTACATCACCAACTTTAGTTGAACTTTACTAACAATTGTGAAGGCATAATATTGTATTTTTGTCAAAAGGCAGCACTCCACAGCACAACACTCTTGAGCCTCATTTGTTTAAGATACCACCAGGAAGTAACAGCTGCTATATAGGAGTCAATTCAAAGTCATCGTTAACATCAACCAGGGGAACGTAAAACTCCTGAATTTCATAGATGCTGATAGATTTATAGGTGGCAGGATCAAGTTCCTGGAGTTTGAGCTGCCATTCTAACCTCTGGACGGCATTTAAAGCTGCAGCTTCATGCTGTTGCCTCATTAAAAGACAGGTCTATTTAAGAGAAGAGAAGAATTGATTATTTATTAAAAACTGCTTTGTTTAAAACTTAATCTCATGCATTGTTTCTTTAGGGAGCAAGATGGATATACTAGGGTATGTGAAGTTTCTGAGTTACGTCCATTTATGGTTTACTCTGTCTATATCGATATCCATACACCAAATCCTTCTGGGCCTGTGATTTCACACTCATCTAACAGACTTCAATTTGAAACTGTTCTTTTGAGCAATAAAATTTCAAGTTATCAGAAGAATTATGAAAATCTAAGGAAGAGTGATTTTTAAAATAATTCAAGCCAAACAATTTTCTTTACAGACTATTGGCAAAATAACATTTCTTGTCTTCCTGTTCTCCCCCTCCTCTTGTACAAAGGATAACAAGCACGAAGACCCACTTCAGAAACAGCTTTTTCTGTGGCAGCTGCACCTTTGATACTAAAATGAATTAAAAAAATGGGCGGGGGGCCCTTTTCTTCATTTATCTTCCAAAGTGTGACCAGCGTGAGGATTCACAGCTTACCATCTTTCATTACCTAACCACTCCTCTATCACACAGCAACAGTTTCTGTTGATGAAGGGGAAGCATCCAGTTAAAGTGAACTTCTAAACATACATACCTTTAATTTGTCGAATTTATCATCCACATCTTGTAACCAAGACATGAACTGTCTTGCATTAAAGCGATCCCTCACAGAAGTTTTACTGTCATCAGACTGAAACAGAGTATTAAAATAGTTGGATATTACAAAATAAAATAACCTACTTTAAAAAATCTATATGCCATTTTATCTTTTTATAGTATATTCTACTTTTAAAGGAATAATGAAAGTATATTTCAAAGAAAGATAACATCTAACTTGAGTATTTAAAAAGGCTGATAAAATATTTCCATACTGAGCTGATTAGTTATTAGGATTATTAGGATGTTGGGTTTAGTAAGTAATTAAAGAGAACCTTACTGCTCTGTGAGTCAAGAATGTCTCAAAAAGGCATGTCATATGATGTATTACATGCCTGTGACCTTATTAACATATAACTGATCATGAAACTCATTTTAACGTGACAGTTGGCTCAGACCTGGTAAAGAATCTGCCTGCAACTCAGGAGACTTGGGTTTGATCCCTGGGTGGGGAAGACCACTGGAGAAGGTAATGTCAACCCACTCCAGTATTCTTGCTTGGGAAGAATAGCCAGAGGAGTCTGGAGTGCTGCAATCCATGGGGTCGCAAAGAGTTGGACACGACTGAACTACTAACACTGTCACTTACCACATGTTGGTAGTAAACAACGAGGTGGCAGACAGGGCTTTGGGGCGGACATTTCTCCCAGGACCCAGTCCTTTTGTAGGACCTATTCTCTGGAGAGTTTATAAGGAAATCCTACACCAACTCTTAATAATACCAGTTTTGGTATTTCATTAAGATAGGCAATATTCAAATGTCAGCTTTGTATCCTACTGTGTAATCTCAAACTGATTACATACTCCTTCAATTTTCTATTCTGTAAATGGGGTTAAGAGCATCTCTTTACATCTTGTTTGAGAACTGACTTGTGAAGGCCTTGTTCTAATGCCCAGGCAACAGGCAGCTGCCTCCATGACTGCCCTGCCCAACTTGACCACCAGCACCGCCACAGGGGTATCCAGGCCTCATGCAGCCCCACTACCACACTGCCCACATTCTGAGCTGTGACCACTTTTGCCCTGGTCTTCAGGAAAGATGTGTTGACTATTTTAAATTTTATCATTCAATCCTTTTTAATATTACACGTTTATCTGGAAAATGAAGAGGTCTGAAAAGAGAACAGCCTACCCAAGGAAGTGGACTTGTTCCTTAGACCCTCTGCAGCTCTGGACAAGCCTGCTCCTCAGTCGAGAGAGACTATCTATCAACTGTAAGGCCAGCCATACAAGGACGGGCAACAGGCCCACAGTCGTTCTCAAGACGATGACTACGTTCTGTTGACTGTGGCGTGATCCTTTTTAGCCTCTGATCAGTCTGGGTTTACTAGGAAAATTCACTTTTCAGAAATTCTCTTTATGACCTGTCTGGGACTCCTTTTTCTCCTTTTAAAAAAGATGAGAAAAATTAAGCCCAGAAAGAACTAAGTAATTTTCTCTATAGTATACCGCATATACTTTGTTTCTCTATGGTTGGCCTGATTTAATACAGCATTTCCTGGGACTTCCCTGGTAGTACAGTGGTTAAGAATCTGCCTGCCAATTCAAGGTACATAGGTTTGATCCCTGGTCCAGGAAGATCCCACAGGCTGCAGAGCAACTTAGCCCTCGAACCGCAACTACTGAAGTCCATTTGCCGAGAGCCCATGCTCTTCAACAGAAGCTCCTGCCATGAGAAGCCTGTGCACTGCAACTAGAGAGTAGCCCCCATTCTCCGCACGAGAGAAAGCCTGTACATGGCAATGAAGACCCTGCGCAGCCAAATAAATAACTGACTTTTTTTAAAAACCCAGCATTTCCTAGTCTTTTTTGGCGATAATCCTTCATTGTCTTGTGTTTATACTTTTATATTCTTTTATGACAGGTGAATTTCATTCTGGTTTATGAACCACAAAAAAATTCTGACGACTGATGTCTGGTTCTGGATTCCTGAAATTTATATGTGGCAGTTCATGTTTTCAAACTACAGCTACAGTTTCCCATAGTTCTTTTAATTTATCCCAACAACACCCAAGATCCAAATAAAGCCTGGCCCTCTCTCAGCACTGACTCAACCCGGGTTCCACCTGCCAATTTTTTTTAGCTTCCAGCTTTAAGCTTCCCAGTTGCTCGAAGGTCAGGGTCGGGGTATAAAATCCATGACAGACACAACTCACAAGTTATCTATAAAATGACGCTATCTTAAACACACACGAATCTGTTCTGTAATTGTCTTGATTTAATGACGTTCAGAGGGCCAGGTGATCTGGAAGTGCTTCACTCATTTTTGCCTTTGTTGTGCTTTACTGACTGCTAAACTCAAGTTTGTCCTGAAGATACCAACTACCAGAGGCGCTGCTGTCCTGGGGGCACTGAGGCAGCAGGGAGGCCTTACCTGGGCATCCAGGGGCACGCTGTACACTTCCGCGTCCAGGAGAACCGTGCATGCACTGAATGGCAGTGTCTGATTTGCCAGTGTCCTTGCAGCTCTGTAATGAACCCGAAGAACCTCCTGTTCATTGGATACAATGAGTTTTTCCTAGTTGAATGAAGAATTAAAAAAAAAAAAAAAAAACAACTCTTCAACCACTTGTTTTTTTTTTTTTTTTAAAAATCACTTAAAATGTTAAAAGAACTTGAATCTCAGATCACTTAAAATGTTAAAAGAACTTGAATCTCAGAGCAGTTTCTCCTTCATAGTAAGGCTGATAAATGAGAACTCTGAGAATTCTAAAAGTAAATTTTCTTTCCAGAATTGGCAGTCTCTTTTTAAAAATGATCTTTTGAAAGTGTACAATGATGGCTTTCATTAATAATATATAGTCATCTACTGGTATCTGTGGGGGATGGGTTCCAGGACCCTTGTGGATACCAAAATTCATGGATGTGCAAGTCCCTTATATAAAATGGGATCATATTTGCATATAACCTACACACATACTCCCATATACTTAAAATCATCTCTATATTACTTACAATACTTAAGACAATGTAAATGCTAGGTAAATTTGCCAGTATGTGGCAAAATCAAGTTTTTCTTTTTAAAACTTTCTGGAATTTTTTTATTGAGTATTTCAATCCACAGTTGGTTGACTCCATGAATACGGAACCTGTGGATATGGCAGGCTGACTGTATTTACCAAGATGTATTACCAAGATATTGTTACCACTTAACTCCAGGACATTTTTGTCACCCCAGGAAGAAATACCTGGGCCCACCAGCGGTCATTCTGCATTCCCCTTCTGCCCCTGGCAACCTTAACTCTACTTCTGGTCTCTATGAGTTTACTTGTTATGAACAGTTCATACAGGTGGAATCAAACTGTGTGGTCTTTTGTGACTGGCTTCTTTCGTGTCACATGTTTTCAAGGTTCATCTGTGTTATAGCACACTTCACTTCCATTCATTTTTACATTTTATTTATCTATTCATCAGTTGACGGCTCCTTTGGGACATAGTGAATAAGGCTGCTATGAACATTCATGCTCAATTCTTTGTTTGAATGTGTATTTTTATTTCTCTTGGGTAAATAACTACGAGTGGGATTGCTGGGTCATATGGTAGGTTTATGTTTAACTTGTTGACAAATTGCCAAAATGTATTCAACAGCAAACTCCGGGAGTTGGTGATGGACAGGGAGGCCTGGTGTGCTGCAGTCCACAGGGTCACAAAGAATTGGACATGACTGAGCGACTGAACTGATTCAACAGCAGTTGTGTCATTTTATGTTCTTGCCAGCAAGGTAGAAGATTCCAGTTTTTCAAACCCTTGCCAACATTTGTTATTATCTGTCTTTTTATTATACGCATTCTAAGTGTTCTGAAGTGGTACCCCATCATGGTGGCAGGGTGGAGGCTTCTCTTCTGTAACAGCAAGGCGTTTGTAACATGGCTACATGCATAGATGAAATATACCACAAGCTTGTGGCTGAAACGGCTACTGATGTGGGTTATATGACCTAACTCCTTTCTGCTAACAAACTGTTCACCAATGTGGGTCATGCAGTGTTGTTAAGTTGTTTGAGTGCGTCTTTATTTGCTTTTCTCTTTGTAATACTATAACTTTATTTCATTCATTTACAAACATTATTCTGAGCAAAGTTTTATACAGGAATCCATGGCACAAAAAAGGTTAAGAACCTCTACCTTAGGGAATCAATCATGAATGAAGAAATTACATACAATGTTTTGCTTGTATAAGAATCTATGTGTATGTCTGTAAAGAAGGGTCACAGCTTATATCACATTTTCAGAAAGTCCCTGACTGTCCAAGAAGAGATATAGAAGGTAATTTTTCATTTTTATCAATCCAAGTTACTTTGATGATTCCTATAAATAATTAGATAGGTTTGTTCTCTTGTCATTTCATGACAAAACTAACCACCAGAAACTGGAATACTAAAGCAGACCTAAAGGGACCTAGGAGCGCAGCCTTAGTATGATTCTGCACCATGGCAGCTGGTACCAAGCAACAATCTCAGAACCTGGAAACCCCTATGTCTAGACAGGAATTCACTGCTACCAGCCTGCAGATCTGGCAAATGATACTGAGAAATTTTAAGAGGTTTCTGTATATCAAATAAATCCTGAACATAAATTGTAACATAGGAACGGCTATCCAAAAACAGGCTTAAAAATTCTCCATCTTATTGCAGAAGAACAAAGATAAAATCAAGCCATTTCCCAAAATGGATCTAAACAAGGAAGATTCACTAATAAGAAACTGTAGGCCATCATAATCTACTGTTAAAAGTTATTTTTTGCATAAGTGAATTTAAACATTTCTTACCCTTTCAATACTGTGCTGCAAACGTAGTTTCATCCTGACAACTTCCTGTTGTCGAAAAAGCTCTTTAAGTGGATCTGACAGTGAAGGTGGGGGTGTAATCTAATGAAAAAAATAAAGAGTTGAAAATATTATATTTCATTTACAATAATCAGCTAATCCTATAAAATTAAACCTTTTTAGTGCAGAACATAATGCAAACATAAATTCTTACGTTCTTTGAATTAAATAATACAGTAAGTAACAATTTCACAACTGGTTGTTACTTTTCAACTCTGAAAGAAAGCAAAACATTTCAGAAAATGTACACATTTTACTTCTGAGGCCACAGCAAATCCCAAAGAGCAAATCAGGATGGAGGGAGTTGTTTACCACAGAGACACGTTTTAGAGTGTCCGTATCTGACAGTTCACAGACAGGGAAGGAGGAGTAACACTCAAAAACACTGAACAAACAGTCCAAAAGATGACGGCAGTCTGAGTGTACAGTAAGTCAAGTCTCTCTGCAGACATGATAAAATCCAAACACAAAACTGCAGAGTCTTAAAACAAAAAAACAAACAAACAACAAAAAAAACTGCAGAGTCTTGTATTTAGCGAGTTAACTTTTATAAAAATAGATGAAACTGTCTTCTAACAGAGCTGTGGTTTTCAAACTTCATTACAAATGTTGATACCTCACTTTGTCTATCCATTCTCGAAAGAGCTTACAGTTAGTTCACCTCTGATTTGATTATCATGAACTGTGCTTTTTGATAGATGCTGGAGCTTAAGAAAGCTGACTCACTCTCAAGCATTAATACAGAGAGACATCCAAGTATGGCAGTAACTGTCTGTGATCCCTGCGTATTCTCCCTCTGCCCCCAGCTTTTAATAACTGTCAACATACTAGAGTGAAGAAACAAAGTTTTCTCAGAACATCCTGGCACAAAGCAGTAACTCTGGGGGACTCTTTTGGCAGGGGCACAAGGAGATACTGACGTGCGGCTGCAGGGACAGTGTAGCACTATACCTGAAACACTTGCCAAAGATGCAGAACTGGACCTAATCAAGACTCTATTTATAAACAGTAGACAGTTTAACACCACTAGGATTCAATCAGGTGAGTCAATGAAGAATATTCTATAAAACAACTTATTGGGGCTGATCATTTTTCAGGTCTCTAATTATACATTTGATTTGTGTCTTAAAACTTCTTTAAATTTAGTAAGAGGCAAGAGTACAGTTTGGTGCTATTATTTCAGTTTTGAAAAAATCACACTGGCATCCTTCAAGTGGCACAGGGAAAACACCTCCTCCTTTAAGACTGGAGTGTCAGAGAAGGCTTCTCTAAGAGGGTCAAGCCCGAGCTCCACCTTAAAGGAAGAGCCAGAGTAAAGAATTCAGAGAAGTAAGTTGTGGGGGAAAAGAAAGAAAGCAGGGAGGGAGCTAATTCGCACAGGAGAGAACGGTACGATCACCTGCTAAGACAAGCAGTCTGGTGTCAGGAGGCACCTGAAGGCAGGCCTGAGCTCCGGAGCATCGAGTGTGACAGCAGAGAGGGCAGGATGGGGAGAGCGGCAGGGCCCAGCGCTACAGGCTGTAGTCTACCCTGCACACAGTGCTTCTCCAGACATGACTCACAGAACGCTGGGGCTAGAAACATGGCTTACAGGAAATGGCCCCAAACAAGTGAGGCTGGGAAATACTGTGTGTGTGTATACACACACACACACACACACATAAATATACTTATTTACATATCTCATAATTAACAAATTAAATTTTAATAGTTTTAGAAATCCTACAGTGAAGAAATCTATTTTTGATTAATGATGTTTCCCAAACTTATTTGGTCATAAAAAACACCCCTCTTTCCCCACTGAAGAAGGTATTTAATTAACATGCTGTGGAACACATATTATGTGTAACACATTGGAGTAAATTTTGTATGTAATAGGGAACCAGGGAAAGGTCTTAACAGCTCACAGCTGTAGTGGAGAACAGCTATGAGGAGGACGTGACTGTAAGCAAGGAATGAAGAGAGCAGGCCACTGCTGCACTGGTGTGAGAGGGGAGGCAGTGAAAGGGGTGTGGTCTAAAATGTGGGTGACTGAGTGAGGATAAAAAGAGGGAGCAGCTGAGGACTCGCAGGTCCTTCAGCACTAGGACTGGATGGCTGCTAACAGAGACCACAAGAGGGGACCCAAGGAGAGAGAAGCAGGTTGGGGCAAGTTCAGTGCTGAAATGTTGAGTAGACCAGCTAGTATTAAAGAAGCCAAGGAGAGAGGTTTGTGCAGAATATATAAATCTGGGAATTCTCAAAATACATCCATCTGTAGAGAAGGAGTATGTGGAGACTTTTTTTTTGGGGGGGGGGGAGACTTTTTGAGGACACTTTCCCTCTGCTTTTTCCTCATCTTGTCCCATGTTGTGGGACATTCAGAAGACATCCAGAAGCAAGTAGAACACAGTTACGGAAGTCAGTAGTGTAATTCAGGTTTGAAGACAGAGGCAGGCATCATTCTCCAAGAGACCTCCAGTGTCCCAGCCCTTCATAAGATTACAGCTCAAAGGGAGAAGCAGGCCTGTAAACAGTTAACTGTAACATCTTGGGGAGGTTTAAAGACACAAGCAATTCTGTTCCGACAAGATCCTGCCCAGTGACATCACAGCTCACACGAAGACGGGAGAGAAAAATGGCCCTGGTGAAGACAGCATTCCATATAGAGGGAACAGCACTGCCAAAGGACCCAGACAGCAAGCAGAGACTCCACAGAAGAGGGGGGCTCAGTGTGGCTGAAAGGCTGGGTGACTTGGATGAGTGGTGAGATGAAGCAGGGGTGGGGAGATGGGTCAGGCTGCTGTGCTCAGATGTAGGTTTTTATGTGTGGCCAATGGGGAGCCAGCTAATCACAGCTAAGATACCTCAACAGGGAAACAGCTTTTCATTGTTTTTAAAGGGACATAAATTTAACAACAAACGGAAGGTGCCAAAAGAAAGAAACTAGGAGAAAAAAGAAGTGGAAAAATTGCTCCAATGCTGAAGTGAGAGATACTGATGAGGGCCCTGGAACAAGCAGCAGAGAACGTTGATTCTGGAATGAGTCCTCAGATCTAAGGGATAGAACCTGGTTAACTGATGGGTTTCTACTATGGTGTCATCACCAATAAATAACGTGTTTGTCAGGGAGTGGGTGGGGGGTCCTGTTTCAAGGTCAGAGGTCGGAGTGGGTGCCGTTAGACCTGCTTTCTGGAAAGAGAGAGTTGGTGGCCAAGGCACCGCAGCAGCTCAAGTTAACCTTCCCCACCCAGGGCAGGCTCTCTGCCAGAGGCTCCCACAGGTGCATGCAGTCACTGCACTCACCTCAGGGCACCTGCCTGCTCTCCTCAATTCCACTTCCCTCACACACACAGGCACAGCTCCTGACAACTCCCACCTACAGCCCTCCTGGAAAAGCCTCAGGGTCAGCATACTGGGGAACCAAGCCTGGGACATGTGCCTGAGGTCATTTAACAGACTGTGCCCAGGAGGCACCTGCCATTTGATTCTAGAGATGATGTGGCTCAACAGGATGTTTTGGGACTAACTGCACATTGAAAGCTGCTGCAATCACAGAAAGAGACAGGAACCTTGCTGACTGAAGAATTAACTCCTGGAGAACTCTGATGTTTAAGGGGTTGGTATAAGAGCCATAAGAAGACAGAAAAAGATAAGTGAGGCAAGAGAACCAGAAGAGCACACCATCATGAAAAACCAGGGAGGGGAGGAGTTTATGAAGAACCAGATGGTCATGAAGTTGAATGCGACAGAGAGCAAGCAGAAAGAAAAAGGGAGAGGTCAAACAATGAGTCAATTTGGAGCTCATGGGGGATCTCTGCCAGTGCACACACAGTGAATGGATGAACAGGAAGTGACACAGAGGGGATGTTGGGCACAGACCACTCTCCAAAGTGTGGTGTGAGATCACTCACTAGGCATGACCAAGTGCCACAAGCAAGGGTAACTTTTTTCTCCCCAGGATGAAGGAGACCCAAATATGTTCAGTGGATGGGTAATGGCCAGTGAAGAGAGAAACTAAAAATACAGTAGTAAGAAGTGTTCTCATAGAGGAAGGTTCCAAAGAAGGCTGGAGGGAATGGAATCAAAAGGATAAGGAAAGGAGTTACCCTTCAAAGAAATAAAAGCATTAACTCCTTAGGGTTGAAAGCAGCAGCGGGTAAGAAACAAAATACCAAGGAGCACTGCTGTTCAGTAAGGTAGCACAGACCACACACGACTCCTGAGCACTGACTGATGCGTGGCTGGTCTGAACTGAGACGTACTGCAAGCCAGCCTGGTTTCAAATACTCAGCACCAAAAAAAATACCTATGTAGACTATCTCAAAAGCTTTTCTATACTGATTATATTTTCACATAGAATTGTGGATATATTGAGTGAAATATTAATTTCACCCATCTCCTTTTACTCTTTAAAATGTCAAAAGTCAAATCACTCAGTCGTCTTCGGCTCTTTGCAACCCCATGGACTATACAGTCCATGGAATTCTCCAGGCCAGAATACTGGAGTGGATAGCCTTTCCCTTCTCCAGGGGATCTTCCCAACCCACGGATCAAACCCAGGTCTACCACGTTGCAGGTAGATTCTTTACCAACTGAGCTATGAGGGAAACCTGTAAGAACAGAAGAATAACATTATCTGAACCACAGCCCCTGCCCCACTAAAATTCTTGTCACATGAAGTAAGAGCCTTCTGCATAAAAGCCTGTGTCCCTTGAAGAGAAAAGTCCTGGAAGATGTAGAGGTTTCTATGTCTCAGTTTTATTAAGAGGAGAGAGTCAATCTCCCTACTATAAAGTATAGGTAAATTGAGATCTGAGTATCCCTCAAAACATCATAAAAATTAAATTTTATGTTAATGCTGGCTAAATTCTAATGGTGGAGTTTTAGGAAGAACAATTTGACAGAGAAAGAGAAGGGGCTTTGAAATTGAGGGATGTTCCCGGTGAGCGCTATCCACACAGAGCGGTATCTGTCTGCAGCGCCCCGCCCTCCCCGTAGCAGGACTGAACTGAACTAGAGAACCTAAATAAGAGATCATGGACTATACAGTCCATGGAATTCTCCAGGCCAGAATACTGGAGTGGATAGCCTTTCCCTTCTCCAGGGGATCTTCCCAACCCAGGGATTGAACCCTGGTCTCCCGCAATTCAGGTGGATTCTTTACCAGCTGAGCCACCAGGGAAGCCCAAGAATACTGGAGTGGGTAGCCTATCCCTTCTCCAGCAGATCTTCCCAACCCATGAATCAAACTGGAATCTCCTGCATTGCAGGTGGATTCTTTACCAACTGAGCTATCAGGGAAGCCCCCATTAAAATGTGGTTACTAGAACACTGAAGACTACACATGTGACCTCCATCACATTCCTACCAATGGGGCTGCAAGTGTATGTCAAGTGAGGCTACTTACTGTGGGTATGCAGATCTTGCTTAAGGGGTTTCCGTCCAGGAGATACGACCCATTAAACGTCACATATTCATCATAATACTGAGGTGCCTGAGGGATCACACTACATAACAACTTGCGCTTTTCTTCAATCTTTTTTCTTATGTGCAAGTATTCAAAATAGGGATTTGCGCGCTCTGAGCTGTATGGCTGGATCTCATCGAGCTTCAGCGAGTCCACAATGGCGGCCAGGGACTGCTGGGTTTTCTCTTTTGCTTGCAGCAGAGAGGGACTCACTTGCACGGGCTGAGGCACCCGAGACACTTTCCTTTTCCGAGGGTGGTGAATCTGAGGGTCGTCCTCCTCAGTTAATCTTATTCTTCCTCGAGGGGATGCAGATTCACTGTCTTTGTCTGGTAACAGAGCACAGCTGGCCAGAAGCTGCTTGCTTTGACTGGCTCCTGTGTTCCCTTTGTTTCTGGTCATCCTTTGAGGGATCTGGTTTTCAGGTTTATCATCTTCAGCACTTTCCTCTAGTTCTACTTTAACTAAGTGTCCGTATTTATGCATTTCTGGTGGAGCCGATGGCTGTGGATGGTTCTCTAGACTCGATAAAGTACTCTGTTGTGACTCCTCATCCTCAAAGGAAAGCAAACACTTCTCACTTTCAGGACAAGGTTTTGGATTATCTGGTTCACTCAGGTTTCCTTTTGGCACCCCTGCATTCATTTCACATAAATCAGAATCACACTTATTGTTCAAATGAGTCAAAACCAAACTCTCCAGTTTGTTTTCTTTTTCATGTGAAGTATCCTGAATATCAGAAGTGCTTTTTTCAGCCTCATGGCCACTGGAAGACTTAAACATTAGCTTGCTAAATGTGTAATGAGGATTTGGCTGGGAAGACGAATCACTTCCATTAAAGTCCTTTTCTGATGGCAATACTGGCAAAGTACTAGCTTTCTCAAAATTTGGTGCTGCTTCTTCAACAATGTTTTCAGAGTACACTGGGACAAAGGCATCTGTCTTCTGAACGTCCGTTAGGACAAAAGTATTTTCCGTATCTTTTGTAGGTTCAGTATCAGTATCCAAAACAGAACTGATCATTTGAATTGCATTTTTCTGCTGCAGAATACCTGGTTCTTGAGCGGTGACATAGGACAAAGAAGTATGTCTGGAAATAGATTCACCATCTGAAAGTGATTGGCTGTGAGAAGAGCAAGGTTGCTGTGAAGCGAGAAAGGATGCTGGATCCTGAGCACAAGTGTTTCCTGGCAATTCAGTCTGGTGCACGGACACAAAATCAATATTCTGTTCTCTCAATACTTTGTTTTCAGGATTACAAAAACCCTGAACAGAAGAATCTTGATCAGGTGCAGCAGAATTTGGGCAGCTAAAGTCTCTGGTGTTTAACGACTCCATCTCCCATGACTTACTTTGGATCACACCAACCTGATTAGACGGCTCTAAGTGCGCAGGACTGCCCATCAGCGTGCCCATGGGAGCAGTGCCCTTGATGACATTTGTATCAGTAGAATTATATTTGCTGTTTACAGATCTAGTTGGAGAGGCTGCAAAACTGGAATGTACGTTAACGCTCAAAAGTTCTCTTTCAGGCACATTGGAGGATACCTCAGATTTGGGAGAAGGACAAATCTCTCTTGGCACAGCTGAGCCATCTTGATTGCTCTCTTCTGATATTGTTTGAAATTGCTTTGTATGCTCACAAATGACAGAGGGCATGCTACATCTTCGGGCTTCTGCAGCTGATCTCCCTTCATTTGTAACTAGTTTAGCATCTTCAATAGAAGATGCCCGGAGATGGGAGGTCAGAAGCTTGCTAGCATATGATGCTTTAATCCGCTCTGATAGGTCAGTCAGGCTATCCAGCTCCCTGTCATGAAGGGCAGGAGATTTGGCAACTGGCAAAAACGGTGACTGGGAAAAGGACATTTGGGAATCTGAACCCTCTAACATAAAGTCTGAGTCATACTCAACTGGAGGCCTTGGGGTTGTCATTGTAGTAAGGCAGGAATCTTCTGAGCTAGCCACTGAAATCATGGAGACAGACCTGGAGCTGAGACCTGGCTTTTCACTTTCTGATCTAGGAGACCTGTTCAAGCTATTATCTGAAACAAAGGATGACTTGCCTAAACTCGTCGTATTTTTGGTGTCCACAGATTGGGATCTGTTACTTACAACATCTTTACAGTGTTTCTCCTTAGTGTAAGTATCAGTCAACTCAGAACTCTTTGACCTAGTAAGTTCTTTATTTTTGGACTCAGCTAGTCCATGCTTTGTTTTTTCTTTATCTTTTACTTTAAGTTCTAAACAATTGCGATTTCTCAACCGTTCCTTTTCTTTTTGTTTAATCTTTTCCTTGTGTTTTCTGTGCCACTGCTCTATTTCCAGGTCTTTAAGGCTTAGCATCCGTTCAAAGCTGGTCTGCATTAAGTCGTCATTCACGAGCCTCTTTTCTTTGGGCCGAGTATCCTTTGATGCTGGTGATGACTTAGGTTTAGGCTTATCTCCTTCGGATTTTAGTTTGAGTGAACTACTCAGTTGAATTTTATCCTTATGTTTGTCTCGTTCTTTATATCTATCTATATCTTTATCTTTTTTATCTTTTTCTTTTCCATCAGGAGTTCTCAAAGGTTCATCTTTTGTTTTTTCTTTGAGAGAGAAAGTTTTTTCATGTTGTGCTTTATTACTGTCTGTTATACTTGACTTTCTCTCTTCCTGGAAGTGTTTGGAATTACTTACATTTACAGTGTCTCTAGATTTGTCCTTTTTATCTACCTCCCTATCTTTTTCTTTATTTTTGCTTTTTTCTGATTTAGTATAGTCACTATTATCTGATGGCTTGTTTTTTTTTTCCATCAAGTGCTTCTCTTTGCTCTCTGCTGGATGTCTCTCTTTCTCAGGTTTTTCTTTGTCATGTTTCCTATCCATCTTTTCTCTACTTTTATCTCGGTCATCGTTTTTTTTAATAGTAGTAATGTTTTTTAGCTTCTCACCTTCTCTATGGCATTTTTCTGTGTGATGTAAATATAGCTTGTCCTTTTCTTTTATTCTGTCGACACATTCACTAGGATCTAATCTGTCTTTCTCTGACTTATGCTCATGTTTTATCTTCTTCTCTTTTTCAGAATTTTTTCTGTCAGCCCTCTCAATGTCCTTATCTTTGGTCTGAAATCGTTTCTCAGATTTTTCCTTACTTTCTTTCATATGCTTTTCAATTTCTATTTCCTTTTCCACTGAATGTAACCCTATAGTCTCTTCAGTGGCACTTACACCTAAAGAGCTGAATTCTGTTTCTTTATCTGTAAGTACATTCTCTCGCTCATCTTTTAAATCTTTTATTTTTTCCTCCCTAAAAGATTTTTCACTTTCCTTTTTAATCTTTTCCCGTTCGGGAAAGTTTCTCTCTTTGGAGATATGCTTTTCCTTGGTTGATTTATCATCTTTAATGTTTTTCTCCAACTTTGACTTTTTTTCTAATGTTAGGGACTCATGTTCCATACTTAAAAATAGATCTTCGGTTTCATCACTTTTAAAAAAATTCTCTTTCCAAAACTCTCTATCAAATTCCACACTCCGTTGCAGCTCTTTAGTACCATCCCTACTTTTGTATTTTTCCTTTTCACCTTCAATTTCTTTTTTATGCTTTTCTTTTTCCCTTTCTTTATGTTTTAACTTATGTTTTTTTAATGTTTTACCCTCTTTATCCATTTTTTTCAGTGTGCAATCTGAATTTTCAAATGTTGGACTGTGATCATCATCTTTTATTTTGGCATTTGACTTCTCACCAAATTCTAAGTGGAAATCTTTATGATGTTTGTTTTTTTCCTTATGCTTACAAGATTTTACACTTGAACTTTCTGGCAAGAATTCAGATTCTATATTATCATACCGAACAAGATCAGGCTGTAATGACATTTCAGAACTTCCTGGTGATAAACAGGTTTTAGAATGTTCTTGTTTTAGTGGTGTTGACTGCTTTTCACTGAGTCCACAAGAATGTTTGGGAGATTTACCACTGGAAATATGAAACAAATGTAATGAAGTATCATCTTTCGGGCTAAAAGATTTCCTAAAATTCCCCTCGTCTCTGGTCTTATCTGAACAATCTAGTGTAGTATTAACTGTCAAGTTTGTTACTCTGGTATTTTCTTTCCCCTCTTTTTCTTGCTTCAGCTCTTGGTTCTCTTTATTTTTGTTCTGGTTCTTTAATTTTCTTTTAACTTTGCCTTTCTGTTTGTGTTCATTTGAAACTCCATATTCCTTTTTGGTTTGAATATCAGAATTTGATGTTTCAGGGACAGAACATGGAGCAGAACACTTTTTGTTCTGAAGAATTTCTTCATCTGAACTTTCAGAACTTGAATATAAAACCCTAGACGGCTTTTGTTTTTTACTTTTAAATGATTTAGGATAGAAAGCTTTTTCCTGTTTTGCAAATAAACTATTTTTTTCTACTTCAGATTCATTCTCTTTTCGCAGCTCTTTCCTAAGAATATGTCTGTCATCAATCATTTTATTTATTTCCTCTTCATCATCATCTTTGAACTCATACTCATCAAGGGCAGATGGAAGAGGTGCTTTACTGGGAACTATCTGTTTACTTTCACAGATGAGAGAGTCTTTCTCTGTCTCAGAGTCAATATTTTCATCAACGCTGGAAGGATTTACTGACTGAGCCTCTTCAGAATCTAAAATATGAAAAAGAAAATCTCCTGTTAGTCAAGAGACAACTGTCAGGAAAATAATACTGAGAGAAAAACATAGTATATACAGCAAATACTTCAATTCTGAAAAAATTTCATATTTATATGTAAATAATACAATGAAAAAATATGTAAGAGCTCTGCTACAGTTTTCTGGAAAAGCTTCAGAGACTGCTTCAGAATGAGACCTCATGACACCTATAAAAGCACATAATACACTGGATATACTATATATATATATATATAAACTAATATTAAAATATATGAACAATATAATTAAGAGGTTCAAAAGTCCAAGGGGCTGGATTCAGGGAAACATTGGCTACTAATGTAAAAAATAAAAAAATCATTTTGTGGCCACATTATGTGGCATGTGGGATCTTAGTTCCCCAACCAGGGATCAAACTAGTGCCTTGAGATGGAAGGATGGAGACTTAATCACTGGACCACCAGGGAAGTCCTCTGTAAACTTTTATATATATGTACATTTTCTTTTTTCCTGGAGAGAGAATATTTAAGTAAAATTCTTTGATGCATAAAAGATTAACAATCACTAACTTAAAAACTTTAATTAAATAAAAATTAGATTATTTTATATGCTTCAGAATTTTTTTTACTAGTAAAAGCATAAATGATCAAATGACTCCCACAAGGACAGAACTTGAATAAAGGTGAACGGTTGTAACTATACAAGAAACATGATTGTCAGCTTTACCACCTGTAAAAAAAAAAAAAAAAGAAATATATCCCCCAATTACAACATCAAGATTGTAACAGATAGACTGATATATAATTTGAAAAAAGCTACTTTATTCTTTAGCTCTTTTATATATATTTTTTCCTTCCTAGTTGGGCATCTTTTCTTAGCTGAAATGTATGTTGTATGCATGGAGCCTCCAACTGCAAAGAAAACCCAGGCCTGTAAAATTAAAAGAAAACGGAAGACTCTGACCAAAAGAAAACATCAAACTTCACTTTTTTGGCTAAATGTATAACAATATAAAGGTAATCAATTTATTTGAATACATCAAGTTTCCCCTAAGAGTAATCTAGCTCTCAAATATTCTTTACATGGAAACTCAAATTGCAGAAGCATTTTAGAGTGCCTGTAAGGTTCTGAGCACTGGACAAGAGCTCTGGAGAGATGTGGAGAAGATGTATTAATATTCTAATACTATTAGCTGCCAAATGAGTGACAGTTATATTGACATGTGGAATTTAAAAAAAGAACATTTTTAGAATGACAATTGCTTGTAAGTGTAACTCTCCATTCCCAGTTCTTAATACTGCAATATAGAGCATCAAACTGTAGAACTTTATGGTGCAAAAAAAGGAACAGCTGTTTTGGTAGTAGTATTTGTTCTGCTCCTCCACTAAATAAAAACAAGAGTATGTACTTATATGACAGGTGTTATTTTCCTTGTTGGCACCTTATTTACAATTTGTTCTTAAGGACTTTTCTCCCCTTGCAGTTTTTAAGGAGTGGATGTTTTATGGTTTGTATATAACTATTCTATTCTTTCTCATTAGGTAAGTTTAACTGGAAACTGGGAATGATTTTTTTCCCTTGTATATTCCTTAACACCTCAAGTAGACACTAGAATCAATCTTAAGTAAACATTTAGTATGCTTCTCTAGGCACAGAGTGCTCAGCGGGAAGTGTGATGTGATGAAAAGAACACAGCTCTGCAGAGTAACAGTGACTCAGCCTGATGATGACTCAGATGGCTGTTGGCACCTAGTCTAAAGGGTGCAGGTAACCTTCTCCAGTCAGTACCTGGGAAAGGGGAACAGGCTTCCGACAGCAACAGCACTGAATGGGGTGGGAAGGATATTAGGAACTTCAGGCAGACTTCAGGGTGTGAAAACAACTAATGTAACAAAAGGCAGCGCAAACACAGCATGTCCCATTTCATATACAGCTTTTTTTCATTCAATAGTTGCAGACATTTTCTTTTAAAGTTTCATTTTCTTTATTACTGTTTTTAAGGGCTGCGTGCTACATGGAGTTAATACGTAATCACGATATACCGTGATGACAGTGTGGAGTCACCCCGGGAGGAGGATGGCAGCCTGGCTCTGGCCACTGAGTTACACCTGCCCACCAGGCTCGTTCCTCTGTGTGTGGGCTCTCAGTACTGCCAATCAGGACCCTGCATGCTCTCCTAAAGCTGGCAAGTCTGGGACCCCAGCGATGACTCTACATATGTGATGCCATTCCACTGGCAGACCAGGTTCAAATCCCTTTTTTTCCCTAAGGAGTCCTAAACCTTTCTGATTTACTTTACCCAGGACTATGGATAAAGCTGGTCTTGGAATTCTGGCGCAGTAGTAAAAACAAACATGTTTGCTCCACCTCTCTTAGGATAGGGAGAAATTCACCTAAGAATCCAAACCCGAAAGCCCTTGTACTGAAAATGGCCATGGTCATCGTGATGTGACACCATTTTCAATTTGGTTCCAACTTTTTTTGTCTTTACTATCTATTTAGTTACCAGATTTGAACTTGTATTTAAAACAGTTTACTGAATTATTTCTGATAAAAAAGCTTCTTTAAAAAATATCATGTTTATCATTTCAACAATTTTCTTTGGGAAATGAGGAAGACGAGTAAGAAATAAGCAATCATTAAAGCATTAAATTTTTCATTACTTTGTTATCTGTGAAAAACTGCTAAATAACAAAATAAAACTTAACTGATTAAAAATGCAATACATTTGAAAGTTGCTCTTGTACATCTAAAGGCATTATTTGGAAAATAGTTTTCCTGAAATTGAAATCATGGAGATGCAATAAGCAAAATCCAGATTTTGAGAAAAATTACCAGGCAAATGATTTTTTCAACAACAAAAAATTACAAGAACAAAAGAACGGAAGGGGATATTTACATGACATGGTGAATTTCCAAAATCTAATTCACACACTATGTGTACTATAATCTACTCCTTTCTTGATAAATTCTTCACAAACCTCTCTGACTCTTTGTTCTAATATATGACAATTGCTCGTTGCTGTCACTTGGGAATTTTTCATCAAAATCTGAATCTTTGTATTTTCCTCTTACACTTTTTTAACCTTGCACTTTAGCTGCGAATGAAATTCTAGCTTCAAAACAGTTTTCATACAACGTCGAGCCTGAAGCTGCACCCATCTTCTCACAACAGCTTTTAAGAACAAGAAATCAGAGTCACTCTGACTGATTCTGGGAGTCTGTAAACTTTTAAACAACCTTTATCCTTGAAGTTGTGACGTAACCTGATGTGGGTTCTCCCTTTCCATGCTTTTTGCTTTGTACATTCCCCTTTCATCTATAAATATCTTTCTTCAGTTAAGAGACATCTTCAACTAAAAAAATTATTTTCTTCCCAACAATTATTATTTTTTGGAAAAAGAATACTGGATATGCTGGGTATGCTGGGTATGGTTTTTTTTTTTTTAACCATTTTTCTCATATTCCCACTGCACTTTTCAATGTTTATGTGTTGCCCGTCTCTTAGACCTCAAATTAGATCTTCAGCGATGTCCAGTTTATTCTTTGACCCTATATGGAATGCTTACTTTCAGTAATGATAAACACTTTGAATTTCAAGGACTTTCCTGGCCAACTTTTTCAAGGTGGCGTTCTGTTAGAGTTATTGGATTGACTGCCCCCACCATCATCCCAGCGTCTCCAAGCGCACTGAGAACTTACCCTTCTGCTTCCTATGTAATTTTCATTCTCCAGATCAACTGTTGTGCTTGTTCATTTTGGCCCTTCTTGTTTGTCTTTCAGTTGATTTTCCTCAACTCTCTGGATTTCTTTTCATACTGATAAAGGGAAAAACTGGTTTCTTCAGCAGTTTAATGGAGGACCCTCTACAGCAGGCGTCCCCTGCATGTGTGCGCCATGGTCCCTCTAACCGCAGTCTGTTGCTGAGAATGCGCCTGCAACAAGCTGGCTCTGAACTTCAGAGCCCCTGGGCTCCAATGGGAGGGATATTTGAGTTGTTGCTTTGCTCTGCAATACTCTACTAACCACAACCAGTATACTGAACCTGATTACATAAATATAACTTACGTTCTAGTCAAGGAAGTAACATTAGGAAAAAACACCTGCATTTTAGGAAACTTATCTTTATAGTTTCCATATCCCTAAATTGATTGTAAAATGCAGTCTAGAGACAGGAAAATAAAATATTGGGTAATTTTATACAGCTTATTCTGAATCTCCATTTCTAAATCTCAATTTAAAAAGAAATAAACCTCAATTTTTCTAAATAAAAGTTAGTTATTTTAATTTTACTGTATAGGAAAAAAGTAGTCATGTTTAGTACATTTATTTGGAAGTAAGTATGCCATATGGGAATATATTTTCACTGTATTTCTACAGTAACAGGTACAGGTAAAGGAGTTACAGCAAAGAATTTAGGGGTGAGCTGGGGAGAGAAGAGAGGATAATCAATAGGTGAAAACACTGTCTAAAAGAGAAATTGACATAAAAAGTAAAACCAAGTACCACACCACTCTGTACACTCCCTTAGTTATACATTCCTTTCTACCAACATATCAGTCACACAAAAATGAAGTCTATAAAGTATAAATTAATCAAGACTGTCCCCCTCTGAAAATATGACTGGTATCACTACAAAAAATTTGATGTCACTAAAGGAAACTGACAAAAATCACCCAGTCTCGGCTATTCCATCAATACGTGTGTGTGTGTATATATATATATATGCATGCATATACATATGAATGCATATATATATATATTACATGGAGGTCCTTTAAACCATGAGTAGGTAAAACAGGATGATATAGCTAAGGCTAAACTCATTTATTTGTATACATATATGTAATATTTTAAGTCAAAGGTCTTTTTTAAGAGTTCTGCCCAAATGTACCCTTCAGAGTTTTAGTCTTAAATATTCAGTAATATCTCAAGGACTAAAATAATGTGACAGACTCACTTTAAGTTGCTAGGCACTGGTAGAAACGAGGTTTAT